CACGGTCTGTATGAATGCTCCCGTTCAAGCTCGCACAAGTTGTAAGCTATCTTTCAACATGCACTGTGTGATTTGAGCTACTTTTGCCCGGATTTGTCAATTCTAGATAGCCAATACTTGCCTACGCAGTTAGATCGACCGATTCGTGCAGGACACCGCCATAGCACGCAGGTTGCAATAGCTACTTAGAAAGTGTGTTATATAACGCTGCAATGGAGTGTACAGCGTTGAAGGCTAATGCTCCATTACCGATATGCCACAGATTGTTGAACCTCGGATTTGTCATACCCCATTTGCCCTATTTATCTTGTGTAGAGTATACACGTTTGTGTAGAAATACTTTATTTGTCAACTGAGATTTTTTCAGTTCAGTTTTTTTTTACAACTTATATGGCTGTGTTGAGGTTGATATTTTCTTCTTTATGTGAATGCTTTGATATTGCGTTGTACAATTATCTTCATTAATTATGTCAAAAATCCTTGGAGATCTTAACCGGGGCCTCCAATATCACCGTGTCATGTTATGATGGTTAGACTAGTCTAAATTTAGTCTAGACTATAGGAAGTTAGATTAGTATAGTCTATCAATGTTATTCTGCAACTGTTTCCTACACTAGATTTAAGAGGCCACGTCCTAAGTAGAACTTAACCGCCAACCAAAGGAAACTCACACAACCCCTTATAGGAGATAACGATGTATCTGTGTATGTATCCAAGCCAAATATAAAATCAGGGCGAGTGTAGGTTAGAGTTAGATGATCTGTGCACCTTTGTCACTGGCATATATCTTCTTTGTTTTAGTCAGGATCATTTACTCCAATGATCGAGAACAACCGAGTCCAAACCATCGAAAAGCTACCGATTTCTGAACGTCAAAATAATACTGAGTTTCCCTTTGAACCAATGGGCATTTCTCCTTCTCCAAATTCTGCAGCCCTCCCAGATAGCCAGCCTCGCGTGAGGGAGATGGAGATTGGGAGGCTCTGGTTTATGTAAACTGCCGAAATCGCCGAGCGATGCATTCCATCTCCAGCCGCGTTACTAATTGATGCAACAATGGATGGTCCATGGTAATTAGAGTGGGGCACTCAGCCACACGCACAAGCACGTGCGTATCCGGGTCACGTGACGTAGAAACAAAAGGCGTAGAATACATTCTGAAAATTTGTTAAATGCTTGAGGGCTACCCACAGATTAAACCATCAATTAGTTCCGGCAAAAATATGGTCTAAAGTACATGAAAGGTTCTCCGGATGCATGTAAACGTTTGTCGCCTTTTGTAAAAAAAAAACGGCATTTATCGATAAGCAAAACGAATTAGATGTATACTGACACAGATGGCACGAACAAACGGTGACACGTTAAAGATTCATAATCAGATTTTGTTATACACAAACCCGGCAGTAGTCGAGTCTGGATATTGTATTTTGTAGGCGTTAAATGCTTTTTCATCATACTGTCCGGTAAGCAGCCGTTTTAGTTCTCTAAATCGTCCGCGAATTCATCGTTTTCAGGTAATTTCAAATAGGGAACAGAAAAACATAAGGTAAATTTTTCGGTTCGCTTACCTTAAAATTGTATCAGTACATTATGAAAACGCTGCTAATCAAAAAAATTAAAGTTACGTTTGTAAACAAAAAAAATGTAAACATACATTTTATTTTTTTTAATAAATATAAATCAGTTATGATATTTTTTTTTAAATAAGACATAAGGCCTTTGGTGTACATGAAGTGAGAAATGAAGTGTTTAAATTTGTGCTTATTTAAATTATGTCGACCCCAGGACGATTACCTTAGTCTTGATGTACAATTCCAACTATTAAACACATATTTGGATCCTAAATAGACAAACGTTCGTGATATTCAGTTTGTATTGTGAAAAGTTGGAAAATGAGAAACATCACAAGGAAACAAACAAAACACATCGACCTTGTCTAATCCCATATCAGCTGTTCGTCGGACACGGTGCAACTGCGCACATGATTAAGAAATTAGTAAGCGGATTAGTTTTGGGACCCGGGGAGATGGTTGTGCTGCGCACTTTTACCCTAAAGCCGATTATGCACGGTTGATCGCACCTTGACCAGTGCTGTAGGACTTTTGTCACTCTTGGTTAGTATTGGTTAAACGTTGAATTGGATTGTATTACAACATGTAAATAAGTGTATTATATTTTAATTGATATTTTTTATTTTTCTAAAAGAAATTTAATTTGTTTGACAAGATTTTGATAATGCCAACATGATTGTTAATCTGGCTCAATAAATGACTTTGGCCCAGAATAAAGTGTGGTTATATAAGGTTGGGAATGCATATTATATGAGTTGACAATAGGGCACCTACTAAAGATAAGCCACCTCTGAGGAAGACAGTTTCGTGTTGTAAATGGTAAGGACTGCAAAGATTTTTCTCAAAACTTTAGTAAAATGTCTAGCTTCAGGCAACCGAGAAATGCCTTAAATCCCCCTACGTAGCAAACCTTTGACTATGCGAATTTCCGTTTGCCTGGTTTGCCTATATTTCCACTAAAAGGTTCCATTGTCAGATTTTTAGCTATTAAAAACATCAATTTTAATGAGTACTTAGGATTTCTGCTGCGGAAACGTAAAAAGAAGTGTTTTTTTTATCGAAATTTAAAAAAGATTAGTGTAAAAAAATGCCAAAGTTTATCGACATATATCCTTAAACAAGCAAACTACATACTTCATATGAATAACATGGGAATTATATTTGCACATTTTTTTATTTTCTCCGTGACCGTTGGACACACAACAACAGTTCAACAAACTAAATTATTCCCTTTTTTTATTATTCCCTCTATAACATTTCATTCAAAGAAATCTTATGTTTTAATATTAAAAAATGGGGAGAACATATTTTTCCCTCATAAAACCCTCCATAAATTCCCGTTCCCAAAGTCCGATCTTCCTCGTTCACAACTAGTTCAAAAAACGTAGGTTTACACTTTTTTACAAATTTCGTAAAAAAACTGATCATTTTTGCTTGATTTATCGTGCCAACGGACACATAAATACGTACAGTATACAGTATATGTATAATCTAAACGGAGGGTGTTACCAACAAAGGGGTTGGCCTATGGGAACCACAAAACGAAAAAGCAAATTTGTCCCGGGTCTACGTCGTATCACGAGCCCTACGGTAATAGCTTATCCCCTATATGGAAAATTCGCTATACTGGCCTGCATACAGGGTGATTGGTACTCAGTGTGACAAAAATTTTTTGGTGTAAGTACAAAGTAAATTAAGTGTGATGATGCATATCAAATTAGATCCCCAAAAAATTATTTTATGTTTTCCAAAAATAACCATGCTTTTAAACTTAATACAGCGATTTCTCATTTACCTGTATATAAATTTGAGTAGATAATGTCATTTTCGTGTTCTACATTAAATTTTGAACAAGAATAATGGAAAATGACGGAAGCCATAAGTGTGATCTCATCATCACACTTAATTTACTTTGTACTTGCACCAAAAAAATTTGTCACACTGAGTACAAATCACCCTGTATAGTCCTATAGCAAATATCTATCACTATGTCCTTATTTTGATTCGAGTAAAGTCTTCGCAGACAAAGATTTTTAAAATTGCTTAAAGAAATGGTTTTAACGATTATTTTAAACTTTTGCAAATATCCTTTGTTTTGAAGTTCATTTTTGATGATGGTGAGTTGATGTAGTTTAAAGGTTTATTGTGGACATTTTCCATCACGATGGAAAAATACAACGCATAAATGTTAGTATAGGGCTCTGCAATCTGAATCCGCCCTCAGATTGCAGATAGATCTCGAATCGATTTGTATTGTATTTTACCATTGTGATAGAAAATTTCCGCAATAAACCTGATTAGGTAATATATTTAAAAAAAATTGTATATAACATTTTATTTTAAAAATGTATGGTGGAATATGTTTAGGGAAAATGGTGTTTAGTTCAAACTTATAATTATACTGTAATATTTTCTACATTAGCCTTGTGGGTTACACTGTTGGTCAAGGAAAACACAAGAAATATAAAAAAAAAAGAATGAAGAGTCTGCCCCATGGTATGGGTAATAACAAAATCAACGGGACTAACCTTAGTTGTATTAAATATTAAATACAAGATATCTCATACGGGCTATTTCTTTATCCTACACGTGCTACCCAAAAAATTAAATTACTTAAAAGTAAAATAAATATCATGATCTTTGGACAATGCAATGTATGTTTTTTTATAAATTCAACAAACATTAATCATAATGAAAACTCATAAGACCTATATGGTGATTATGTCTATTGAATCACACTTTTAGGCCTACATTAGTTTAAGCCTTTACATTTTACTTTAAGCTTAACATTTTGTACAACAAAAACTATCTACGCACATTTAAATGTTAATTACAGCAGTCATTATTTACACATTATATAGGCCTGTATGTTATTTTACATTATGCGGTGAAAACATAATTTTTATTTTACTGATAGGACGCATGTATAAAAAAATACAAAATAATATAAATATGATATTTAATCAAATATAGGACCAATAGATTTAAAATACGCCACAATTGAAATTTGCAGAAAAATCTGATCGATAGACTTTACGGGACTGAAGGAATTTGGGGTTAGTTGTCAGTTGTTAAGTATGTACGCATGCAGGCTTGAGATAGGTGTGGCATACCGAGGTATGAGTAACTCGGTAATCCAAAGATCGTTAACCCTCATTTTTTTGGATTTCCCCATTACCGATGGCACTGCCCTCTGTCGTGGAATCTTTCAGCCCTTCTGCACCACCACTCAGTTCTCAGTTGTGTTTACCAGTTGGTGGTGGCAAGTATTCGTAGTCTTAGATACCGGTAGTGCGGCAGTGCGCAAGTGACAGCATGTATTCTATGTTGAGTCAACGAGGGAAAAAGCTAGTTGTTCATAAGGATTTTAAGTTTCGTAAGTGTAAAATGACTGAGTCCGGGCAGCGGTGGCGGTGTTCTAAGAAAACGTGTAACGCGGCAATCTATACGGACGACTCTGCTGATGTGCTTTTGAAGGAAACCGGCGACCACAACCATGAGCCATGCCATAATCTTCACAGAGAGTTCATATCAAATGCCGTTAAAAGGAAAGCTAGTGAAGTGTTATTTGAACCTCCCATGAAAGTGATCAGAAGAGAAATATCTGCGGCACCCGAGGCTTTGATGAAGAAGATCGAGCGGGACGATGTTGACCGAGTGCGGAGGAACCTAAGCTGCGCTAGGAGAAGCCTTCTTCCACCTCTTCCAAAGAACATCGATGACGTCCACGCTTCACTTAATAGTATGGAGATCAAGACTACCCAGGGTGAGAACTTGTTACTAATAAATGACTGTACTGAGCATATTATTGCATTTGCTACGAACAGAAACGTAGAATACTTAAAAACGGTTGACCACATTTTTATGGACGGAACATTTAGCTATGCACCTAAACATTTTTACCAAATGTTTACCATCCACAGTGTTGAAAATGGCAACTATGTACCCTTGATATTTTGTCTACTTCCGGACAAAAAAGAGCTTACCTACAAAGCACTTTTCAAACTGTTGTGTGAAAAATTTCAAGAACAGGGCTTTCTATTTACTCCTAAGCAAATCACCGTCGACTTCGAAGTGGCAATACACACAGCTATTAAATTAACTTGGCCAACAGCTGTGCTCATAGGGTGTAGGTTTCACCTAACGCAAGCCTGGTGGAGGAAAATTCAACAACTTGGACTCAGCAAAGAATACAGGAGTGAACCTCAAACGGAAAGTGGAAAATGGCTGCATTGGGTTTTTGGTCTATCCATGTTGGATGCGACTGAAGTGGAGGCAGGATTTGTTGAAGACCTCATGTCGATACAACCTCGGTTAGTTGAAGCTTTCTCGGACTATCTCGTAGAAAATTACATCGACAGCGAGTCTACCTTCCCTCCAAGTATCTGGGCATCTTCGTCGGTGACATCGGAGAGAACGACGAATGCATGTGAATCGTTCCATGCCAAGTTTTCACGAAACTTTACACACCCTCACCCGAACATCTTCATTTTTGTGGAGGCTATCAAAGAGGTTCAAATCGATACCAGCATAGGTATAAGGAGCTCCAAAACGCCCAGAAAAATTACGAACTACCAATACAAGAAGCGTCTTCAATACATGGAGTCTCTGTGTCAAAGGTACAGAACTGGCGCAATATCAAGGTTACATTTCATTCAATGTGCCTCCTACCAGTACAAGAACAACTAGGATAAGATCCTTAACAACATAATGTAAAATAAGATGTATATAGTCTGTTACGATATTGTTTTTTTTTAATGCATCGTAAATCACATGTGACTTATGTACGCCCACTTGTATGCCGTTGTAGGAATATGAACTTATGACAAGGCGGCATAGGTAAATTTGGAAGTACTGTAATATGTATGTAATCTGTTTTAGGCGATAATATTTGTTTCAACAAATTAATACGATAAATCATTAATATAAAATGTATATAGTAGCTTTAATGTATATGTTTTAAATTACAGTACGGTTACATATTAACATGGCAGCATGAGTAAAACGCCTCTCTATTATTAAATAATTTACAATAACTTGTACACAATCTGTTTACAATAATGTTTGTTTGTTTATTGGCTGAAACTAATTTTAAAAATCCCATTTTTTATAGTTATATACTGTCTTGAACATTTTATATGTATACTAGTAGAATACCCGACCTTCGTACGGGGTTGGCATATAAGTAGAACATGATCATTGCAGTGATGGGAGAGGAACCGGTCTAAGAAAAAATGGTCTTTTAATTTATACGGTATCCTATAGTGTGGCACACATATACCTATAATAAAAGAATGTGTTTAATGGTATGCACTGTAAACGAAAACCTATCACAATAGTTCCAAACATGTTAATAGGGCAATTTTCTAACATATTTTAGTGAAATTATAATCAGGCAAACGGGAATTGGCTCAGTCTATAGGTTTGCTGGGGCAGGGGGATTATATTACTGTTTACAAACAAATAAATCAAAAGAATATACCCCATAACTCAGGATAAGGGCCTAGGTTGATAGGGCAATATAGAATGTTGATTATTTCCTATATCCATTGAATGATTTATTTTAAAATGAATTATTATAAAAATAAATAAATAATATTACAACATTTCACAAATATTATAACAGACTCAGTATAGTTAGATCATAAACAAATGAAGTACTGTAACTGAAACAATCCTATAATAATGAAATTACATTAACAGCTCCAATTAGGTTTGACAGCTCCTTTAGGTAATGTTATAAATTCAGGCTAGTGACATCATTATTTTAAATTTATAATCCTTACCCTCTCTGTTCTAATATTCGTGCAGTATTTAATAAGGTTTGAACCAGCTGTGTTGAATTGAGAAATCAAAATCAATTTGACAGTTAGTTCTGCTTGTTTACATTTTTAAACTTACTAGGTTTGTTCTTTGTTACCATGGATACCATCAATCAATATTTACTTTTAAATCTCTCATCTCAGATTTTTGAAAGCCCACGGGGCAAAGCCCTAGGTGAATATCGAAGCGGTAATAGTTCTATATGTATCCTAGGATTTGTAGCTTCATTTGTGTGCAATTTGAGCATAGTCGGATCAGTATTTTTTGAGATTAGCTCATACAAACACACACACAGACACCCCCTCTTCTTTATAATAGTATAGATAGATATTACCTTGAATGTATAGTTATCACATTGAGAAAGCCGCTTATTATATTATAATAGTGTTCATTGTACAAAATGTATGTATTTATTTGAGAATTTGTATATATTATTATTAACATGTTGACAAAGCCGCAAGGCCACCTTATAGAAATGTTTGTTTAAAAATTTATGTTGTTAATTTATTGTACAAATGTATGTATTTACTTGAGAATTTGTATATATTATTATTAACATGTTGACAAAGCCGCAAGGCCACTTTATAGTAATGTTTATTTAAAAATTTATGTTGTAAATTTATTGTGCAAATGTATGTATTTACTTGAGAATTTGTATATATTATTATTAACATGTTGACAAAGCCGCGAGGCCGCTTTATAATAATGTTTGTTTAAAAATTTGTATTGTAAATTTATCGTACAAATGTATGTGTTTACTTGAGAACTTGTATATATTATTATTAACATGTTGACAAAGCCGTGAGGCCGCTTTATAATAATGTTTGTTTAAAAATTTATGTTGTAAATTTATTGTACAAAATGTATGTATTTACTTGAGAATGTATATATTATAATAAACAAATTAAAAAGCCAGAAGGCCGCTTATTATACTGAACGAATTGATCTGTGTTCTTAATTGGGTCAGTTTGTTTTGTATGTGAGCGGTTAATCATATTCGACGGTGTTTCGACGGTTCATGAGTTGTTCGGCCTACTTGGTGAGTGAACTCCATTTTTGTATAGGCCTAAGTTTAATAGTATCGGTCTTGTCATCCTTTTATGTTTATTCAATGAAAGTTGGGTTTTATTACAATCGCACAAAGCTTAACCAACCATTATGGGTAGATAAGGATAAACATGGTGATATTAATTGTAGAATTGTAAATATTTCCATACCTACTGAAATATTTAATTTGTTTATTAAGCAGTATATATATATTTTTAGAATGATTAAGTGCAAGATGTGGCCGTATAACTCGCAGGTGTAGGGTTTACAAGCTCACAAGCTATCTGACGTGACATTTTTGCAGAACAATAGTGCGCAGTCTGTAGACTACCCTCGACGGAGCCGTGTGCGCAGCACGACCAATTAGTTAGGGTAGTCCCTCAATTCTGAGAACGAAGTGCGCAGCTCAACATCACCCTGTTCGTCAACCTTATCATGTACTTCCGGTTGTCCAGCATTTTCCGGTCAGCCACGTGCCAAGGGTTGCCAATCGCTAAACTTTTACCTCCGTGTTCGGTGATATCAACGAGCCAACAGATTGGTGGTAATTTTATTATCTGCATTGTTGTCGTTTCCTGGCAACCCACAGAGAAGTAAAGTAGGCAACCATAACTACAAACTATTTTACATTGTATCATCGATGCTCCAATTGAACAAAATGTGTGATTGTATGCAAATATGTACCTACCTAAAAAGAAAATAATAGAGTTTCTAGTTTTTTTGCTAGTGTCTACGTCAATGACGTTTTCAATCACTGTATTGAATTTCAAAAGCTTTTAAGAAAAAGACCAAACTCCATAAAATGTGTTTTTATTAACCTACGCAATTCCGCAAGAGTTGTAGGACTGGTATGATTCACCTGGACGGTTTGCTGTCGGATTGTAAAATTAGCGGATTTTCAACAACTGTCCAGTAATTAAATGCTTGTGGTTTAGCACAACTATTTTTGTAGCTACGACTGGTTTAGAGGTTTAGATCATATGATATTTATTGATCTTTAAGCAAAATACATGCAATCGATATTGTCCTAGAAACTAACTTAAAGTAATTTGAGAACTCGAAAGTTATAAAATCTGAAATAGTTGGGCATGTAGAAACGAACAAAGGGGATATTCAACTCAATGGAAGTGAACTACAGAAGATAATGTATCTCCAATGATTCAATTATATAATGCTTCAATCTTGCAACCAATAAAGTCACAGGGTAAATGGTGAATGAGGACAAAAGGGTAAAATGTTCCCAGAGAAATGGCACACGAAACTGGGGCTTTAACGGCACCGCTGCGCCGCGGCTCTGCCTTCATGATCATATGTTGTGGCAAATCAGCTGATCACGGCCTTCTCCACAACAATCAGCTGATCACGATGTGTCATCACGACCGTAATCCATCAAACTCTATGGGAGTCACGTTATTTTTTGTATGCATTTAGATTAGGTTATACTTTTGTATGAAGAAAGTTTTACATAGAAATTCGTTGGGGTGGTGTATATTATAGATGTCTCCAAAACCGTTCCATCGCAGTATTAAAGATAACAAATTGTTCAACCGAAGGATGGTATTTCCAAAATACTATAATTCTTAGACAAACTATATATTTGATATGATGGTTTAAAAAAGTGCTAGTTTACCTGTTGCTCGATTTCGATCAATCGCAAAGTATTGCAGAAGTTATTTCAAAACGAATAACAGTCATATTTACAATGAGTTTAATAGAGTCAACTCAAAGATTACAGTGCACTGAAGTTTGTAAAAAGGTGCAGATTTAAAAAGTAGTTACTTCATTATTGTGTTGTTTATTGATGTTGTTTGGATAAAATATATCTCAACTAGCAGAGTACCCGTCCTACGTACGGGTTGGAATATAAGTTTGAATGCTTATTGCAATTCCCTACTCAAGCTTTGCATTTGCAATGGGGGAGGACACAGTTTGATAAAATTTGCTTCTTTAAATTTACGGTACAGTATACTATAGCCACGCCTGCCTACTATAAACATCTACCATAGCCATATAGTTCTACCACTTCACCTAAAGTGCTGCACCCTGTTGGCAAATCTTATAACTTTTTATGCTTTTGCATACAATAGAAAAAACTTTTTAGTTGAACCAGCTGACTAAATTCTTTAATCTATAAGTATAAAAGATGGTGTTTGTATATATATTTGGCAGTGATAAACTCAGACACCGCTTAACCGATTGCCACGAAACTTGGTACATACGTGTAGAATTTCATGGAATAGGTTTATACACCATCAATTTCGTGATCCGTCTAATAGGCTCCGCCCCAGTGGCTCTGGAGCTTCCCATGTTAACCTTATGAGAAATGGAATTAATGAATCTTAACAGCTGTTTCAATTAAACAAGTTGGTTCTGTTCTATGATGTTCAATAGCATTAAAGTTACAAGGATTACCAACAGGGTGCAGCACTATTATTTCTTTTACATTTATGACAACAGCTAATTTGCAACCAAAAGGTGAGTGAGCATAGCGAACGAACTTCAACCTGGAGGCGAGTTAGCGTAGTGAACGAGCTAACCTGAAGGCAAGTGAGCGTAGCGAACGAGCTAACCTGAAGGTAAGTGAGCGCAGCGAACGAGCTCCAACCTAAAGGTGAGTGAGCGTAGCGAACGAGCTCCAACCTAAAGGTGAGTGAGCGTAGCGAACGAACTTCAACCAGGACGTGATTGAGCCATGCAAACGAGATCATCTTGAAAATTAAGAAGTTAAACGGGGCAAAGCCCGCGGGTTACAGCTAGTTCTCTTTAAATACGAATACTCATAAGGTTAACATGGAAAACTATAAAGCCACTGGGGCGGAGCCCGAAAGGATTTTTGAGATAAGAATATGCCTATATGTTAATCGGGAATGTGAGCTATCATCATGCCAAATTTCAGCCCAATCCGTCCAGTAGTTTGTGCGTGATTGAACTTCAAACAAACACACAAACTTTCACATTTATAATATTAGTAAGATAAATAACATTTGATATTTTACTTTCTTAGATTTGTGCAATGTTTTTTTTCGCGTGTCATACATTATGTGTTCATACGTTTGGAAGCCGAAACATTATGTCTAACCGTTGTTGCTGTTGCTATTTAATAACCCTGCATTTTTTATTTGACTTTACGAAAAAGGCATAATTCATTGATTAATAATAAGTAGGTCAATAATCAATAGTAACATAATAACTACACAATAATAGGCGAAAGTGGGGCAAAAATACAAAAAAATACAGGAAATACACTTTCCAGTTTAGATTTTTTCGCCCAGCTATCTGTAGTGTTACACTATCACAATTATAATATTTCGAAAGCCCAAACATTTGCCTTGAGACTAATATTGTTTATTTGAATAAAAACCTAATAGAACACATGTAATACTGTAATATTATTTATTGTTATCGCTTGTTCTTTTTTTATTACTGTTAGCTGCATTGTAGCGTTACCTACATGTAACTTCTTGTATTGGCAATTTTCCGTTAGAAATAAATAAATTAAATAAATGTATATTTGTTAGTTTGACTGTCTGTCGGTAACTCCTAAACATACCAATTTCTTAAAGTTTCGTGGGAAAACAGAAACACCGTTGTTGACGAGGCTTTTTCACGGTTCTCTGCATGTTCCAAAACGTTTTAAGCCACGTTTGGTTTTCCCCCAGTATTGATATTAAAATTAAAGACGATCAAATATTATAGAACCCGCCCCTAACTGAAAAGTTACCATTAAAAAGTTATATTGAAATATTATATATTATATTAAATTATATTAAAAAGTTGCCATGCTATTCTAATAGAAATAAGTATTTTTTGCTCAGTCGTGACGGATAACAGTTACAGTAGGTTATTTGGAAACAACCATTAACAGTAACAGTAATCAGAAGAATTAGAGGGCTTTTTTGTGGTTTTTTTTGGCGGGGGGAATTACAATGTGTATTTGCAGTAAGTACTCTATGGCTAATAGTGTTATGTTACACCATAGCGTCACTAGATCCTTTATCCTTATAGATGAGGTGACTGTAAGGTGTGTTTTGTCCGGTATCTGAAGAGTGCGTTTTGAAGTTTATCTTTCTATTCGCGTCAATGATTTAAAAAAATGTTAACCAAACATAACAATATATTCGTTAACTATTCGAGCCAATGATTTTAAAATAATTTTAACAAAACATAACAATATATTCGTTAACTATTTTCACGTCATCTAGTGTTATAGCCAGAGTGTAAAAAGACACGTACACCCTGTAATGAGGGTAATTTATAATCTATACCTGAACATAGAAACCCCATCAAAGCATGCTTCAGATTTAATTATAGGATGGGATGAGGAGTTAACTTTCTGTAACCAGTTTCCTGAATCTCAGTAAATCAATAATTAAACTCTTCTTGATAATGAAAAGTAAATATTAATTTAAATCGTCCATACAATTTGCTCTTGCCCCGATACAGCTAGATCATTTGTTTTAAGACTTATAAAATAAATAATTCGTAAAACCTCCGGAAAACACTGAATCACCTTTGTCAATAATAACATTAGTTTCAAATTGAAGTTAAAACTAACAAAAAATAATCATAATTTTAGTGAAAGAATATTTAGATAGTTTTACTATTCGCGTTGCCATCGCATTAAAATAAATTGTCGGTTTGTCTTGTGTACATGGACGAAATAAAATATAGGCTTATAGGTATCTGTTTTGAGAAAAATAGACAAACTCCTTCCGCTTGTTTCAAGCCTTGCTCGAGTTGGTCTACAATGTTTAAACCCCACTGACAACCATTCGCACACAGTTAGAATTGAGGCTCGTCCACAATCATTAATCAATATTACAACACAAAACTTTACTAGGCCTATTTATGTATTAAAATAACCATCTTAAATTCAAAACTCCCGCTAGCGTTTTTCAGGGGTTTCAGTAAAACCTTTTTTATTCCAAAATAGTCGTAAATTACGCTTCTTTAATAGGCAACAAATTGTCAACTTACAAAATCACTGTTAACTATCCATGTGGAATCCTATCATCGTTGACGAATGGTGTCTGACGCGGGAACCACAACAGCTGTTATCCGCTACCGACCAGCTGATGTACTAACTTGCTCTCCAGTTGCCGCGACACTAACGCTACGCATGCGCTTTCCCTACCCCCCTCCCCACTACGTTTGCCAGCAATAATACGCAGCCGCGTCACTGTCGCCTAGTATGCTACACTATTGATTATTCGAAGTTAACAGAAAAAACGTTAACTTTCAACGCGGTTGAAATTTTTAAGTTTTTCGCTAGGTGTCTTCCAATCCCTGCCCTAGCACATATGCTTTTAATTGATAGCTCAACAGAAAATAATGCCTTCTAGGTCTAGAAACTACCTGAATTAGCTAGAGGCTTGAGGAAGGAAGGGTGTTGGATAGCCTCAATTGTTTATTTTTAAATGTGGCAGATTGATTGTACACAGATAGAAGTTTTAACTTCTTACTGTCTTTGAAATTATCTCCAGAAAATGAATAAACTGGCTGGGTAGCTGAGTGGTTATAGTGCTCGCCTACTAATCAAAAGGTTGCCGGTTCGATCCTGAGAAAAGTCCGTAGCTTTTTGATGGTTCGAAACTGGACCCAGCTGTTCCTGATCATTGGGCTTTAAATAAATGATCCTGGCTAATGAAACAGCTGATCTTAGTCAGTAACAAAGCTACACAGATCATCACACACCATTCTACACTCATCCTTCACTCATATTTGGGTTAAAATACGCACCTAAGTGGCGTCCCCATCTTAATGATTGATAATTGATAAATAAATCCAGAGGTAATACTGCACTGACGTTTCGGATCGTTTGGTGAATATTTTCATTCAACGAAGTAAATATGAGGTTATACATTATAAATGGAGTTAAAAAAGTGGGGTCGACAGGGAGATAATTTACCTATACTCAACGCAAATAGAACTGGCGGGTAAAGGTGATGTTTTTAAATAGGCCAGGTGGTATTAATCAACCGCCTATACTATTTGAGTTGACTATATACCTCTTGGGCCAAAATAAGCACAAAAAAAAATACATATAAACATATTATGTCTTGTCTCATTCCTTTGACGACCTATGGGCCAGAGCAGGGGTAATTTTTGACACTTCTGATATTTTTCCCACTGTCCCTGAACCTTAAGCTTAAAAATAAATCCTAATCAGTCATTCTACCTTTTTCCTAGCTCGAGATATTTCCTGGGGACCGATTCACTTACGGAATTAAATACAGGCTATAGATTTTTATGATGCAATATAGATTTTTATGAATGCATATAGAAATCGATAAAAATTTGTTAATTTTTTGTACTATGAAATATTTATTTTAAAGGTAAATAAAGAACAAAAGAACCTACGTACTGTACTCAGAATAATAAACACTTTGACAAAAATCAACACCAACATTTAATTAATTTTCAATACAGTATTTAATTAACTTACACTTTTGTTTATTGTTTTACAATCAAACAGTCAATTAATTACATCATTCTTTCTAAAAACTAAACACAATTGGCATACCTAATTCAAGATTAAGTTACTTGTTCTTAAGGAAGACTTTATTCTCTAATGACAGTTCAGGATTAATGCTATTGTGTTTTAACTACAAATCTTAAATATAAAACATTAAAAAAATTTATTTGTACTTTAGTGGCCTTAATTAATTAATTAACAGGGGAACTTTACTCAAATAAATTAATGTTTGCTTAACTTGATTAAGAACAAAGTATAGAGAAACTCATTATTAACAGAAATCTACTTCTTCTTGCTCAAAGCAGCAGTCATCCTATCGAACTGGAGCGACTCCATATTGCTTGTTATTTCTTGTACTTCTTTGGCCAACATTTTGTTTGACAGTGAGACTTTTTGCATAGCAGAGTTTAAAACTTGTCTGGAAACAATCAAACCCATTACAGTTACATAGTTACACAGATTATTTAGCAACAATACTTTTTCATGATATACCTAATTAGTTTGTTTACTCAATTACTCACGAAAATTGAATACTTATTTACTACAATAATGGTTTTAAAACACAGAAGACATCTTAAAGTCTAAAACCCCAATGAGATGTTTGACTTTACCTATTTAATTATGAAACATGCTCTTTCTATTAATTTGTTTTTAATCATAATAAAACGCTCTGGTAGAATAGCTTGCAAAGCTAAATTGATATTGTACACTATTCATAACTTTTGTCTTTAAAATATTAATGTACAAAAAATCACACCTATGATAGATAATAGTGATAATTTTACAGACAAATGGTTGGGCAGAGGTACAACATAAAAGAACTAGTTCTTAAAAATAGCTTTTTTCTTTTTCAAGCTCAGATTTTCATCCTTACTAGGGTCTTAATGAAAAATTTCAAAAACCACATTTTACCATTGACTTTTGAATACTGTATTAGACATTTCATAAATGGCAATTTTCTTTTCTTGTGTCAAATTAGGACATAGTTGAATGACCCTAGGGTGCTACTGTACACATTTAGTTTTCTCTCGTATTTTTAGATACTTCATCAATCAATAAATTGTGTCATATAAAGAATGCTATAATTTACGTTTGGCATTTGTAAAAAGTTAGAAAATCCAACAAAAATCAGTAGTTTAGCGATCTCTGTCATCAACGAACTCTGTCTTTAAAAAAATGTTATAATTCTTTTAGACAGAAAGTGTCAAATGGTTAATCCTTTTTACGAACTCAAAGACTTTTAAGACCTTCCTTTGTCAAAGTTACGTTTGTAGTTGTCATTTTCTAACTATTGTGCCTTCACCTAATGCCTTGTAGTACAACCTGTATAATTTTGTAATGTTTTGCTAACTTTCAAATGGTTGTTTTTACTTCTTGATAGTGATAAACTCTGTGATATTAGTTTTAGACCTATTTATTAACTTTAAATGCAATTTTTTTCAAGTACACTTTGTAACACACTTCTCAATTTGACAACTGCTCTGCATGAAAAATGTTTGATTCTTCCGATATATCTACTGTATCTCCAGTATGTCTACTGGAAATAAACATGTCTCAAGTCTTATGTCAGTGGCTTAATCTAACTACATGACTACATCCAATTTCTTTCCAAAACTGGCTTCAAACTTTAAAGTGAAATAGGAATGTCTGGTTAACTATCAGAGGTCTACGCTAAAATTCAGTTATACAAATACCTGATCTTCATACAGTTTCATCTCATTTATAGGACATAGTACAATTTTATGTTTTGTGATAGCTAAATTATAGCGTCTGATTGTACGGTACTTACAAAGGCGTGTCCATTGACTCTTTTACTATAGATTCTTCAAATTCAGCTTGGGCTTTATTCAACAATTCAATTTGCTGTTGCAAATCCATTTTCTTTTCATCCAGCATCCTTTTATTGGAGGTTATATGATCACTTAGTTGGTTGCTGAACTGAAACAACAAAATGTTCAATATCATGGAAAGGTCATTGTAAATATGTTGATTGGAGAGGATAAGAGATTTTTCTCTATAGAGAGTGATGCATAATATTGGAGAAGTAATGAGGCTTTAGTTTTGTAAGGAGAGAACTTTAAATTGTGTGATTTTTTAAATTAAATCCTGTATTGACATTGGATTTTAAGAATTACATATGGTCCTATGCAGCTACACACTCGAGCCTTTTGTAGGGACATAAAATTGACCATTCATGATAATTTTTTTTTTTTAATTGGAAAATTCATAGAAATTTATTTAAATGTTGGGCCAAAAGATGTGATACACAATGGGAACTGCCAAAGTAGGATGGTTTACACAATTATGCTTATGTTTTTTATTTATAAATAATTTGTGATATTGTACGAATATTTGGTAGGGTAATTTACTTTTTTATATTGTTTAGGTGCAGTGGTAGAACATCATTATGGTTATGGTAGATGTGTTAAACAATAGCATACCATAAATTTAAAGAACCAAATTTTCTTAAACCGTGTCCTCCTATTGCATATACAATAAGCACGAGTATAACTCCAATGAGCATTTTATACTTATATGCCAACCCCGTACGAAGGACGGTTACTCTAATAGTTCTACATGTAGCCACCTTAGATTGATCTCTCACTTTCACTAACTACTTGCAACAGACAGAAATGTTGAAAATATTACGGTACTAAATATGAGAAAAAGAATTCCCAAGAGAAAATATGTTTAAATATAAATTAAAAGACTTTTGAAAATCGTTACTTACGTATAGTTTGGGTGCTGTTACGAATTCACGTGAAATCTCAGCAACATCCATTTCAAACTGTTCCCTAAACAATCGTATGGTTTATAGACACATTAGAATATTAAACAATTTAAGAGCTGCTTCCATTTACCATACTCGCTATTTATTAGTTTGCAATATTGACAATAAATACTAAAGAATAGATTCCATCTATAAGCACCTGCAGCCATAGTGATTTTTATTCATTCAGTAATTGACAGATTCGCCTCAGTTCACAAAAATTTCAGCAATTTTTTTTTTTTTGTTTCTGTGGAAGTAACAAGAGATAGATAATTTACTTGTCTTGTATCAACATTCTGGAGATATCTAAACAGTGGCTCAATACCTATGGTACTCAAATGATTTAATTACGAATGATACATAAGTGGGATGATTCTTAAGGAAGTAGGTTTAATTTAAAGTCAAATTTTTTAATTAAAAATACTGTGTGTCAATTTCTTGCAAATTAACTATTGTTTTGGCCTACCTCATGAAAAGACAAAAGAATTATTCCAAATATACAGAGTTAGGCAAAAGTCTGGAACCCCCCAGTTAACTTTTTAACGCGTTGCAGTAGGAAAACCAAATTCGACACATATTTACAACATAATTGCAATTTTTCATCAAAGTTACAACAGCCCCAAATTTTCAAATGTAAACACCTATCATTTTAAAGGGTTTATCAAGAGAAATTGAATGGCGCAAACCAGAGGTCCAAATATCGCACCCCTAATCAAAATGGCAGCCATTTTAATAAGTTAAGATGAGCAAGCAAGATAAAGTCTGGAGACCCCCAAGTAACTTGAAAAATTTAATAGCCTATTTTAATACTGACCAAAAGGTGAATTCTCTTTTTTAGCGAATTTCCCATATATGGAATAAGCTATTACCGTAGTACTCATGGTAAGACCTGGACCCGGGACCGATTTTTTTTTTTTCGTTTTGAGGTCCCTAGAGGCCAAAAACACCATCCGTTCAAATTCATATATATATATATATATATTTATATATATATCTTATCTTACTAATATTATAAATGTGAAAGTGTGTGTGTTTGTTTGTTTGTTTGTTTGTTTGAAGTTCAATCACGCATAAACCACTGGACGGATTGGGCTGAAATTTGGCATGATGATAGCTTACATTCCCGATTAACATATAGGCATATTCTTATCCCAAAAATCCTTTCAGGCTCCGCCCCAGTGGCTCTGTAATTCCCCATGTTAACCTTATGAGTATTCATATTTAAAGGGAATTAAAGAATTTAGTCAGCTGTTTCAACTAAAAAAGTCGGTTCTATGATATGGAAAAGCATTAAAAAGTTATAAGATTTACCAACAGGGTGCAGCACTATATTTTTTTGCATTTATGAAAACAGCTAATTTGAACTAAGCAGCAACAAAAAACTGTGATTCGCAATGAGAACTGTCAAAGTAGGATTGTTTACAGTTATGTATATGTTTTTCATTTCATGAATAATTTGTGATATTTTGCGAATTGATAATTTATTTTTCTCTATTGTTTAGGTAAAATGGTAGAACATTATGGCTATGGTAGATGTGTAATACTATAGAATACTGTAAATTTAAAAAAGCAAATTTTATCAAACTGTGTCCTCCACCCATTGCAATCGCAAAGCTTGAGTATAACTGCAATAAGCATTTTATACTTATATTCCAACCCCGTACGAAGGACGGGTACTCTGCTAGTTTATATATATATATGTGTGTCCGTTAGCGCGATAACTCGAGCAAAAATGATCCGATTTTGATGAAATTTGCTACAAACGTGTAAACCTATGTTTATTCGAACGAGTTCGCGAACCAGCATGATCGGACCATGGGAACAGGGGTTTATGGGGGCTTTTATGGGGTAAAAATGGGTTTTTCCTATTTTTGACACAAAAAACATAAAATTTTGAAATTTCTTTCCAAACTATTTTGTAGAGCTTAAAAAAACAAATAATTTAGTATATTGAAGCGTTGTAATGCGCCTAATGGTTACGGAGAAAATTCCAAAAAATTGTTAATTTAAAATTCCCATGTAATTCTTATGGAGAATAAGTAAACCGTTGTAGTGTGCTTGTTTATTAACATATTTTGCCCAAATTTGGAAAATGTTTTTATTTCTTACTAACTATTAACATTTTACATAAAAAAACACTTTTACCCTCCCTGTTGCAGCAAACCTAAGTATGTGTTAAACTGATTCTATTTAAATAGGGAATAAATGTGATATTTTTAAGGAGACATTTTAGTCTAAATCCAATCAGGCAAATGGAAATTCGCTTAGTCTGCAGGTTTGCTGCGGCGGGGGTATTTATAAAGGTATGCTGAGTTTAGTTTTCCTGCTATAACCTGTTAAAAAGTTAATAGGGGATATTTCAAAATGACTGCCATTTTGATTAGGGGTGCGATATTGACCTCTGGTTTGCACCATTCAATTTCTCTTGATAAACCCTTTAAAATGAGGGGTCACCCCAGTCAGCACATAATGTAAAAATAACGTTATTTTCACGTGAAAAAAAGTGAAAATGTAAAAAGTGAAAAATATCATATTTTTTCACGTAAAAATAACGTAAAAATTTTAAAAAAGTGAAATTTTCTATGTGAAATTTTCACGTAATTTTCGCGCGATAATAACGTGATTTTCCCCATTTTTATACATCAAAATAACGTGAAAATGTAAAATGAATAATGTTTTTTTTACTTGAAAATAACGTTTTTGTGCTATCTGGGACATGATAGGTGTTTACATTTGAAAGTGCTGAATTTGGTTTTCCTACTGCAACGCGTTTAAAAATTAACTGGGGGGTTCCAGACTTTCCTAACCCTGTATGAATGAAAAAAAATATCCTATCTCTTTATTCAATACTTCTAAATCGGCTGTTAGTTAATTTTACTACTAAACTAAAAATGTTAGTTTATTTATTTCAACATCTGTATAGCATTGGACCTAGATTGCATATCCATAGGCAGGTTTTGGGAGCTGTGAAGTTTTATTTAGATAAAAAATAAAATCTAGTTTTAAAGTTGGATGAATATGTTACCATACAGGTCTTTTTTCCACAGCTCACAGAGAAAAAACATAAAAATCTGTTAAAATATCTTGTAGGTTATGGTTAAAATCAAACTTTACTAATAAAACAATTACTAGAATTTGAAAAGTCTATTTAATTTAAAAAGTTTACCAATAGGGTGCAGTAATATTATATTTTTTCATTTATGACACAGCTAATTTGAACCAAGCAGGGCCAAAAAGCTGTGATAGGGCCTACACAATGAGAACTGTCAAAGTAGGATTGTTTACAGTTACGTTTATGTTTTTAATTAATAGGCTAGTTAATATTTTCATTTTGTGCAAATATTCAATAATTAAATTTTTTTCTTTAGGTGTAGTGGTAGAACATCATGGCTATGGTGGATATGTTATACTATAGCATACCGTAAATTAAAAGAACCAAATTTTCTCAAACCGTGTCCTCTCCCATTGCAAACGCAAAGCACAAGCATAACTGCAATAAGCATTTTATACTTATACACCAACCCCATGCGAAGGACACCATTACGCTACGGTAGTTATTTCAAAATTTTAAACTTACAAGTTCATTATTTGTTGACTTTTTTCTTCTGTTATTCCTAGCTCTCTCAGTTTGATAGTTTCTCTCAAATTATTATTCTTTTTAACTTCATCAATTTGCTGTAGGTCTAGCTCCTTCACGAGGCACTTTGCTTGGTTTAGTTCATCTGTAATATGATATTCATGATTTTATTTGACCAGTCAGCAAGCAAAATTTAAATGAAATATCAATTAATTTAGTCCATCTTGCCTCACAAATGCGGTACTATTTGTAGTAAGAGGGCTTAATAAGTTGTATGATATAATAATGTAAATATAATAATGTTTTTTACACATGAGCTCATTTGACACATTTTACCTTCTTTAACGGGATGATATAAAGATGCATCTCTAGGATCTTCTTCTTTCTAATGAGACAAGATTTGTTTTAAGGATAGCGACTAGAGGCTGGAATAGTATCGCAGTTAAATTAAAAACTTAATAAAAGCTGTTATAGTCACCAACATAATTTGTTGATCACCAAACTTATAGTTTTCACACAACTTGCTATTGTATGATCTTTGTTCAACACTAAATAAAGACCGTTCCTCTCTGTCTGTATTGAAGTAAAAACATTGTATTGTCTATTTAAAACTAGTAGACTATTTTAGGAACTAACTTCTTATGATTAGTAAAAAGTAAGATTAGTACCCAGTGTATTAGTACAAAAATTATGAATCGCCTACACATCAAACAAGAAAAGCCTATTTTGTTCTTAATTTAACCATTTTATATTGCAAACAACCATTACATTACAATTTATACAAAATAAGTTTTCAAGTCAATTCGATCTCGGTTGTAGTTCGGTTGTGTTCGATCTGGGTTTTCACATATTAAGGCAACAGAGACGAACTGATAATTTAATGACCTAAGGAGATTTTCACATGATCTCCTTGTGAAAAGGTGGTTTGTTTAAACTGAAACCTAGACAAAACAAAATCATAAAACATACCTTTTAGGTGTGATATTGAATTATAAATTACACTGAGCTCTTGTTTCTTGGTTTGTTCCTCTAACAAGAGCATATTTTCAATGTCTTCCAAAGTCTCCAAATCATCAATCTAGATAAAAACATGTACAACAATTAAAAGTAATTTGATTGGAATTTAAGGTGAATGTGACTTAATTACTGTCAATACATTGCAGGTACTAATTCAACATTTTCTTTTTTATCACCATACTTTTACAAATAACGGAGCTTCTTTTCAAAGTAGACCCAAATAATTGTGTCTTCTCTTATTGCAGTTTGGTTTTAAACACCAACAATTATAGGTCGACCGCTTAGAAAAAAGACCTGCGCGCTAATGCTAATCTTTTTCTAAGCGGTCACCCTTTAGGCTCACTGATTGTATTTATTACAGACCTTTATTTCCTGCTTTATAATATTTTCCCCAATTAACACACAAAAACGAATTTCTTATGAAAAAAGTTTCTGTTATGTTGATCTAATTGAATTATAACAGTTTAGAGGTGGAAAATAGTATAGTGTATTATAATACTAGTCCTGAAAATTGGTGTTAACCGGACAAGTGTGGTCGTTCCCGTACGAGACAAAGTCGAGTCCGGTAAACACATTTTGGACGAGTGGCGTACAATATTTTACGCCATAGGCCTTACTACTCTATGCTAACTTAATAAAAAATGTGTACAAATTCTTATATATTCCCACCGACTAAAGGACTAACAATAACTACCGTACTCATAACCTCTAAGAGGGCTTACCTATGTTTTTATTTATTTTGCCAAATATAATCAGTTGGTTGGTGTCGGTAAAAACTCATTAAAGTAAGTATTACATGATGAAACCACATTTGATTAAGCTGGCGGCAAACAGCTGTTTTCTGGACTAGGCCTAAATCCTTGCGTGGTTATTAAGGTTCAACTTATGAGCAGCCTCGGGAGGCTTAATGAGCCACATCATTTTGTGAATGGATGAGCTTTTAACAAGAATTGTTAGATATAACATACATTTAGAGCAGCTCATGGCCTTCAAGATATTAACCCTTAGAGTGCCAGGCGAGAAATAAAAGTAACGCTCAAAAAATGCCGATGATTTTTCCCGAAGGTCGCGCTAAAAATGCCGAGCGCGATCTGGCGATTTTTAGGTTAAAATTTCGTAAAAATCGAATTTTCGATATTTCGACCAACGAAAATCGATGTATCGCATCTAGTAACTTTCGACTCAATGTTAATATATGGGTTAAAAGAATCCGAGTATCCATTCGGTTGTTATGACAACTGTTCGATCATTACGAAACGTCCGGTCAGCCGGACGTTGGCACTTTTGGCTCGTTCTAGAAACGTCCGGTCGGCCGGACGTCGGCACTTTTGGCTCGTTTTAAAAACGTCCGGTTCCCCGGACGTTGGCACTCAAAGGGTTAACTTATGCCAAAACCATAAGCATGAAAATATAAGTAGGTCTAAGTTTGTATTTTAGGTAATTGTTTTATTGCCTGGACCTAATTTACGCGTCTTGGGTTCAACCCATCCATCTTGCACAAAAGTCAAGACGTTAACCACTAGGCTATCTGACACACCCAAAATATATCCTTGGAGTAAGTTAAGGCTAAGTTAATAAGTTGGGCCTTTAGTAATACATTGCATACAATTTAAGCTAATATGGTAACAAAATAGAGTACCGTAGGCATATCGGTAAATGCAACTAAACAGTAAACTTACAAAATGTATACAATAGGGCTACAAAAGTAGGTAAGTTCACAAGGCTAGAAAATCAGGTAGGACAAAGCATTGATCGCATGATGCCAAATATGTGCATAGATAAAAAAAATCTATCATTCTACCTATCTATCATCATTCAAAATCAAATAGTAAAACAACAAATCAATGAGTTGACATCAAGAAACAACACAATGTCTTAATGATGTTATAGGCATGTGTACGTATTTATGCATTATAGGCTACCCAGTGGCGTAAAAGAAGGGCCCGCAATGCGGGGGGGGGGGGGGCGAGGGCCGAGGGGCCTGCGAAACGACTAGGGTGTAACGTGCCCGAATTACACCTGTCTGTTTTCCCCAATTTGTTATATTAAATTGTCCCTCAGTCCCCTTGACTCCGCTACCTTACGTCGCCTTCCGCTACCCTACGTCGCCTTCCAGACCCATCCTCGACCTTCCTCTTACCTTACGTCGCCTTCCGCTACCCTACGTCGCCTTCCGCTACCCTACGTCATCTTCCAGACCCTTACCCGACCTTCCCCTTACCTTGCGTCGCCTTCCACTATCCCACGTCGTCTTCCAGACCCTTACCCGACCTTCCCCTTACCTTGCGTCGCCTTCCGCTATCCCACGTCGTCTTCCAGACCCTTACCCGACCTTCCCCTTACCACACGTCTCCTTCCAACACGCCACGTCTCCTTCCGCAGCCTCACGTCGCCTTCCCCGACGCAGCGTCTCCTTCCGCTACATCCTCCGACCTTCCCCTTACCACACGTCTCCTTCCAACACGCCACGTCTCCTTCCGCAGCCTCACGTCGCCTTCCTCGACCCAGCGTCTCCTTCCGATACATCCTCCGACCTTCCCCTTACCACACGTCTCCTTCCAACACGCCACGTCTCCTTCCGCAGCCTCACGTCGCCTTCCCCGACCCAGCGTCTCCTTCCGCTACATCGTCCGGCCTTCCCCTTACCACACGTCTCCTTCCAACACTCCACGTCTCCTTCCGCAGTCACGTCGCCTTCCCCGACCCAGCGTCTACTTCCGCTACATCGTCCGACCTTCCCCTTACCCCACGTCTCCTTCCGTAGCCCCACGTCGCCTTCCAACACATCACGTCTCCTTCCGCTACATCCCTCGACCTTCCCCTACCCACACGTCTCCTTCTCCTATCCTACGTCACCTTCTATCGCCCTACGTCGCCCCCTGATACCACCGATACCATTCAGCAGTTCCCATTCCTGTCCAAACCTGTTCAGCCAAACATAACCTCAAAATGTTCCCAAAAATCAATTTCCAATGCAAATAGATTGTCCGATCCTCACCCCTAAAAGTCCAAGACATGACTAACCATTTCAGGACTACTGCGCATGCACGGACTACCCCCACCAGGCTGACCAGGTTTTCGCATAAAAGGAGGACTGCTCGGGACATCATTCTCATTCGCTCCCGGGCAGCTGACCAGTACACTTCGATAGTAAGGTGAGCACACGACCCGATCCTGCTAGAGCAATCTTAGCACACGACCCGCTCCTGCTAGAGCAATCTTAGCACACGACCCGTTCCTGCTACAGCAATCTTAGCACACGACCCGTTCCTGCTAGAGCAATCTTAGCACACGACCCGTTCCTGCTAGAGCAATCTTAGCACACAACCCGTTCCTGCTAGAGCAATCTTAGCACACGACCCGTTCCTGCTAGAGCAATCTAAGCACACGACCCTATCCTGCTAGAGCAATCTTAGCACACGACCCTATCCTGCTAGAGCAATCTTAGCACACTACCCGATCCTGCTAGAGAAATCTTAGCACACAACCTGTTCCTGCTAGAGCAATCTTAGCATCCGACCCGATCCTGCTAGAGCAATCTTAGCACACTACCCGTTCCTGCTAGAGAAATCTTAGCACACGACCTGTTCCTGCTAGAGCAATCTTAGCACACGACCTGATCCTGCTAGAGCAATCTTAGCACACGACCCGTTCCTGCTAGAGCAATCTTAGCACACGACCTGTTCCTGCTAGAGAAATCTTAGCACTCGACCCGTTCCTGCTAGAGCAATCTTAGCACACGACCCGATCCTGCTAGAGAAATCTTAGCACTCAACCCGTTCCTGCTAGAGCAATCTTAGCACACGACCCGATCCTGCTAGAGGAATCTTAGCACACGACCCGTTCCTGCTAGAGAAATCTTAGCACTCGACCCGTTCCTGCTAGAGCAATCTTAGCACACGACCCGTTCCTGCTAGAGCAATCTTAGCACACGACCCGATCCTGCTAGAGAAATCTTAGCACTCAACCCGTTCCTGCTAGAGAAATCTTAGCACTTAACCCACTCCTGCTAGAGTAATCTTAGCATAAATCATAGATCCTGTTAGTTGGAAGTTTAGCACTAATTCTGACATCCTACCAGTTCCTTATCCACAACCTTTCCTTTGTGGCTGTGATGACATAGGCTGTTTGAAAATTGGTGTGCCACGAATCTGAGCCATTCCTTTGCTTCCCGTTGTTTCGACCCCTGGAATAGATACCCCGCAAACACTGAGCTATCCCGGACCTCACTTGAGAGAGAGAACGTCACAAGGGAAACCGGCGAGCAGAGAGGCCTGTGAGACGAGAGGGGCCGAAAAATTGGAGTTCATTCTTATTGAAATGTATTATCAATCATTCAATAACTGTATTGAACAAGTAACATTAATGTTATTAATAATATGTTGTGATCGTTTAATTTGATTATGCCTATTCAGTGATAACAAACTAAGGTAACAAGTTTACGATTTTATAAAGTAGGTCATTGATTATTATGCAATCTTACTTTTGTCACAGAGTAAGTAGGCCTACGTCATTCTTCTAAATTAACCAACTTTGAGTTTTTGAGTTAGCCTACCGGTACCTAATTAATTAAACCATCGATAAAAACTAACCGAATAAATAATTGATAACATGTGTAATAAATTAAATAACACCTCCTTGATATGAAACATTCTGATACGGGTTAAAAAATAAGGTACCTATTTTTATTTTTTTTTTTTACTTTTTAAGTTACAAAGTTGTACAAAGGGGGAAGGGCGTTTGATTAAGTTGTATCGGTGGTATAAAAATCACTCATTAAAGGTGGCCCAAAAAATAAACTTGCAGGGGGGACCAAAAAAATCTGTTACGCCATTGAGGCTACCTACCTGATTTAGGGTAGCTTAGTGAACTTACTTTTGTAATCAATTTAGACCTACTTAGGTCAGCCCAGCGCATGGTTCCTTAGTGGTTCTCGCCTAGTAATTTTTGATTGTTGGTTCTAGCCTGAGAAAAGTTTGTAGCTTTTTCATCGTTTGAAACTGGACCACTGGACCCAGCTGTCCTTGGTCATTGGGCCTGATAAATGGACCTGACTAATTAAACAGCTAATGTTTAACTACCTAGTTTACTTAGGTACATAGTCAGTAAGTTAGCAAAACTACACAATGCATCCCACTCCATTCTACACTCATATTGGGGTTAAAATTTGCACATAAGTTAGGAGGCGTCCTTATCCCAAATGATAATTGTTCGATTGACTTAAGTTAACTTAACTTATTTCATTAAGTTTATCCATCAATATTTATTTTATTCCTAATTGCATGTCTATTTTGAGCCTAATTTACAAATTAGAGTAGGCCAAGGCATACTGAAATAACTTATAACCAACTTAATTTAGACATTTACAACTTTAGTAACGCTACAACTTTAGAAGGTTATTAGCCTACTTAAGTTAATCTATCAAAAATTAGCTTAGTTAGCAAATTATAACCTGGATTTTTCTAAGGTCCTTGATTAGAGAGTTTGGGTAACTTACACTTCCATATCTGTTGGCACAAACAACCGAATGAAAATATCGATCGATATATCGTTTGGTTAGTTATGTAAGGTTAACCTAACCTAACTAACCAAACGATATATCGAATAAAACAATCGAATAAGCTTTATCAACTTGTGTGAACCTGGCAATAACTTGGCAATAAGTAGTGCGCGCGCCACAAAAAATCTATTGCTGGCCGTTTTGCGGCAAAATACGTCCGCGATGCATATTACCGATGATGCCAACAGATAGAGGACACTTTAACGGACACGACAGTATCAACATTATGTACCTGGGGAGTAGTATAAGGGGGGTAAAATCGGCAAAAAGTAGTGCGCGCGCTACAAAAAATCTATTGCTGGCCGCTTTGCGGCAAAATACGTCCGCGATGCGTATTACCGATGATGCCAACAGATAGAGGACACTTTAACGGACACGACAGTATCAACATTATGTACCTGGGGAGTAGTATAAGGGGGGTAAAATCGGCAAAAAGTAGTGCGCGCGCTACAAAAAATCTATTGCTGGCCGTATTGCGGCAAAATACGTCCGCGATGCATATTACCGATTATGCCAACAGATAGAGGACACTTTAACGGACACGACAGTATCAACATTATGTACCTGGGGAGTAGGATAAGGAGGGTAAAATCGGCAAAAAGTATTGCGCGCGCTACAAAAAATCTATTGCTGGCCGTATTGCGGCAAAATACGTCCGTTATGCATATTACCGATGATGCCAACAGATAGAGGACACTTTAACGGACACGACAGTATCAACATTATGTACCTGGGGAGTAGTATAAGGGGGTTAAAATCGGCAAAAAGTAGTGTGCGCGCTACAATAAATCTATTGCTAGCCGTATTGCGGCAAAATACGTCCGCGATGCATATTACCGATGATGCCAACAGATAGAGGACACTTTAACGGACACGACAGTATCAACATTATGTACCTGGGGAGTAGTATAAGGGGGGTAAAATCGGCAAAAAGTAGTGCGCGCGCTACAAAAAATCTATTGCTGGCCGTATTGCGGCAAAATACGTCCGCGATGCATATTACCGATTATGCCAACGGTAACGGCGCGCACTACTTTTTGCCGATTTTACCCCCTTATACTACTCCCCAGGTACATAATGTTGATACTGTCGTGTCCGTTAAAGTGTCCTCTATCTGTTGGCATCATCGGTAATATGCATAGCGGACGTATTTTGCCGCAATACGGCCAGCAATAGATTTTTGGTGGTGCGCGCACTACTTATTGCTCATTTTACCCCCCTTAACCTACTCCCCAGGTACATAATGTTGATACTGTCGTGTCCGTTAAAGTGTCCTCTATCTGTTGGCATCATCGGTAATATGCATCGCGGACGTATATTGCCGTAATACGGCCAGCAATAGATTTTTTGTAGCGCGCGCACTACTTTTTGCCGATTTTACCCCCCTCATACTACTCCCCAGGTACATAATATTGATACTGTCGTGTCCGTTAAAGTGTCCTCTATCTCTTGGCATAATCGGTAATATGCATCGCGGACGTATTTTGCCGTAATACGGCCAGCAATAGATTTTTGGTGGTGCGCGCACTACTTTTTGCCGATTTTACCCCCCTTATACTACTCCCCAGGTACATAATGTTGATACTGTCGTGTCCGTTAAAGTGTCCTCTATCTGTTGGCATAATCGGTAATATGCATCGCGGACGTATTTTGCCGTAATACGGCCAGCAATAGATTTTTTCGGGCGCGCGGACTACTTATGGCTGGAGTTATTGCCAGGTTCACACCAATGCTTTATCAATTACTCATTTGGTTGTTTGTGCCAACTGCCAACAGATAGAAGTGTAGCCTACCCATTTTTTGACTTGGTCTATCCAGCAAGAGCTATTCAATGACGTCAAGTCGTCAAGAGAGTAAGTAACAATACTAAATTACCCGTGTGAAGGTCGATATTTATTTACTAAGAATTGATTGCTATCTTACTTTTTCTACTTCTTCAAGTAAACATGGAAGATCAATAACTTCATGCTCATTTCTCATTGTTGCTCCAACATTTAACTGGTTCATTTCACCACTCATTGTTTTCATCCTTAAACCCACTAACTTAAGTACCGGCACTAATTTAGTAAATAAGCTTAAGTTACTCTGCAATGTTTACTTCAATTAAAAAAAATTCAATAGAGAGAAGTCAGAGATTTTGTTTTGGTATCCTATCCTCTTCCACCAAAGTTTAAGTACTACAAAACTAAACTGAATAAACTCTAAACTGAGACTTCTTGAGCAAGGCGTGTTCTTGGGTACTTGAACTTGACACTTGGTTTGTTTTTGGTTTGGGTTTGGGGTTTCGGTTGGTTTGGTTTGACACCAGTGAGCGAGGCCGAGCCGAGAGGCGATGTTACTGAATTCTTCTTTTCTGTTATCGGAAGTCGGAAGTGAACGGAAACTGTAGAAAACTAAGCACGGACAGAAAATTCAATCAGTTTTTACCAGCGAGCACATAATAATAATAATAGAGAGGACACGGCGTTTAACCATATGCACTGAAAGTGTGGTAGTGTTTGGTATCGATATCCGATATATCGGAAATATCGATATTTTGGTTCCGATATATCGATATTTTTATATCGATATTAGACTTCCGATATTATCGGGGTATCGATATTTTACTTCGATATTATCGTTAGAATTGATTTTAGCAATTTTTTTAAAGAATAATGCAAGAATAAAATACAGTTTAATCTTTTCTGAACTTGTGTAGCAGTTATTAAATATTATTAATAACAAATTTATTTGTACACACACACTATTCCATGTATCTAGTTAAATATATTTTTGTAATCTGTTTGCCTCTGCCTGCATTTGAATAGTGAGTTGGCACGGTTGGCAGAAGTGGAGTGCCAAAATGACGTGACGGCAGTGAAAACCAATAAAAACCATTAAATTCTGTATATTTTTTTGTACACAAGCCTAAAAAATTATAAATTGTAAACAATTTAACGTCATATGTGTGCATCTAACTGTTCATGGTGGTACTTTCCTGTTAAAGGGAACATTCATTATTATCGATTATTTCTTTTTGAATATCGATATTTTATTTTTCTATCCGATATATTGATTATAACAAATTAAAACATATCAGCTGACAACTTAGATAAGGATAGGCTAAATAAATATTGTTCAGTATTAACAAAGGTACTTTCCTGCTAAAGGGACATTTTTATATCAATGATTTCTTTTGATGACATATCGATATTTTTTTACCAAACCGTCTGTATATATTCCTTTGTTTGAATATGTTCAAACGCATTTAAAAACAAATGAAGAAACCTTGTTTAGGCAAAAATAATAGCCTATATCTGGATTAGGAAAAGAAACTATTCAACCTAACATAACCAAAGCCAACCAAACTTACTGTAGTATAGGCTAAGTTACCGTTTCAAAATTCCGTTTGATTACAGAAAATGCATATGGGGAATAGGCTAGCAAACGAAATTTTGAAATAATACAGCAAGCTTGGTTGGTTAGGATAGTTTAGAATTGTAGTTTCATTTCAATAATATGTTTTTAAATTGTTTGTTAAGGTAATTTCCTGTTAAAGGGATGCATTGCGATAGCATTCCAATTCCATTAATTTTTAACGATATTTTCCGATATATCGATATTTTTGGTCCGATATTATCGGAATATCGATATTGAGGCTCCGATATTATCGTCGATATAAATATCGATATTTTCTTTCGATATCCCAACACTAAAGTGTGGCCAAATCCGCCATCTTGGTCCGCCATACAGCCTGAATCCAAGACCCGCGAGCTCAGTTCGCATTAAAAACCCCGCGACAAATACACGATCATAAACAACATTAATAGTTGACAAAAAATTCTGAAATTTTGCACACTTGTAGATATGATACTGAGTAAAACGATGGTGTTAATATAAAATTATTAGTTATGATAGTAATTGAATTATAAATATGTTTAACACTTATGTAGTTTAATTTTTCAGATTCAGACATGAAAAAGTTGTATTGCGAGGAAATTTTTTGTTTTTTGGTCAGAGAAATTTCGTCAGCGGGAAAGTTGTGGATAAATAACCAAATTTAACTATCCGATTCACCAAAAAATTTTATCATGTTCGGTTTTCTAAAAAATCAGGTACAAAAGGGATCCATTGCCGCTGCTCCGCGCCACGCCCGCTGCGCCGCCGGGCCGTCGTCTATACATTTAGCGTGCAGTGTTTTAATGTTTGATTTATACTGTTGTACTGTAATATTGTATATATTAAAGAAATTTTCAAATATATTGTCTATGAAGAATTTTCAACCGTTTAGCACAACTTTTTAAGGACTAATTAGCTTTCAATATCATCCAAGATAAACTAAAGATAATTCTGTAAGTTAAATTAAACTTCCCAAATATATTATTGTAAAATTACACTCAATTTATTCTAGCAGAAAAATTACAGTTTTATTGAGATGTTGCCTGATTTTATTTTAGTGACGACTTTCGTTACTTATTTTACAGTAGCGAACTCTAACATTGAAATACTTTTGAGCAATAATTTTAATTAGGTACTAAACAAAAATTATTTTTGTCCATATTGTTTCATATCCTGAGAAATATGTACTATTTGGAAACAAATTTACTCCTACACATTGTCCAAGTACTTTGTTCGTCAAATCCTCAATTACATTGTTTTCCTTTACACTAATATCATTAACTTTATATCTTCACTATTCTCATCAAGCATAGCAGACGACTAGCGCGCTGCACACGCCGGGACTACTGTCGGGGAAATAAATATGTGCTTGAGTTTGAGCCTAAATATCTCTTGAGATTAATTATCCGATTTTGTTGAGACAAAAATTAAATGTAAACTGGTTTAAATACATTTTACGTGGTAACAATTGAAGAAATTTCCGTTTACCAGAAAATTTTTATAGTTGAAAGATTCTAAAAAGTACCGGTTTTTAAGAAACTCTGCACTAAGACTGAAGTTTAAAACTTAATTGTAAACAAACCACTAAGCCAATCTTTCTGAAATTTTTATGGCTTATTGGTATATTTATTGTTAACAGTTCCATGAATTTTAAAATTTTTACTCACGATAGTTTTTATGCTGATGTTTATTTTTAAAACGTATGATAACATCGTTAATAAGACGCTAAAAATTTCGTTCAAAATATCATCGTGTTTGTCGTGACACAAGAAATAACACCAATATGACAGATTAATAATGCAAACAAAGGTGTTTTTTAAACAGGTATATATTTGTAAACAAAAATTTCTCCCGCAACTGGCAGGCCGATTGGCTCAGTGGTTTGTTTACAAATTAAATTTCAAACTTCAGTGTTAGTGCAGAGTTTCTTAAAAACCGGTACTTTTTAGGATCTTTCAACTATAAAAAATTTTCTGGTAAACGGAAATTTCTTTAATTGTTACCACTTAAAATGTATTTAAACCAATTTACAATTAATTTTTGTCTCAACAAAATCGGATAATTAATCTCAAGAGATATTTAGGCTCAAACTCAAGCACATATTTATTTCCCCGACAGTAGTCCCGGCGTGTGCAACGCCTAAATTTTTCTGGTAAACGGATTTTTTTATTGCTACCACGTAAAATGTATTTAAACCAGCTTATATTTAATTTTTGTTTCAACAAAATTAGATTATTCATCTCTGAGATATTTAGGCTCAAACTCGAGTGCACATATTTATTTCCCCGACAGCGCCGCCATCTTTGTCCGTTTCGCCGGCTAGTAAGACTGCCACGCTCCTGCGCTCCGAGTAGCGCTTCTATTTTGTTATGTGTTCGCTGGTTTTTACTACTATCATAAATAAACGGTATCAGCATTTGTTAGTGCAAAGTTAGTGCTTTTGGTTTTATCCTACTACGCCATTTCCACATTTATTTGAGAAGTTGTTAATTGCATTTGAGAAAATATCAAGTTGAATTTGATAAAACGACCAATGTATTTAAGAATAGTCAATTGTATTTGAGAAAGTATTATGTAGAATTGAGAAATCGTTGACTTTATTTCAGAATTAAGGGCTTTTAGTTTGATAAGTTAATTATTAATCAAATAACTTCTTGATCAGCATTGTACGTGTTATTAAATTTACGGAAAGTAAATAAAAGAAACGTCTTATAACACTTAAAACATATATTTACGCTTATACTGTTATTCACAAGACGGTAAATATACAAAAAAGGTGGTAAGTGGTGATCGATTTCGATTGGACACTCCAATCATCATCATACCCAATAGGCGAATGACGATTCATTCGCCTATTGGGTCTGATGATGATTGGAGTGTCCAATCGAAATCGATCACCACTTACCACCTTTTTTGTATATTTACCGTCTTGTGAATAACAGTATAAGCGTAAATATATGTTTTAAGTGTTAAGACGTTTCTTTTATTTACTTTCCGTAATTATTAATCAGCTGAATTTTGAGTTTCTCATTATCAAATTACAAGTTCTTAAGCGTTTGATAACTTTAACGGGTGTCAATGATAAATGTATACAATATTTTAATACCAAATCTATTTCTAGTCGTGCATATTCAGGGCCACCATAATAAACTACAAGTTACAAGTTACAACTTGTAACTTGTAATTTCCATTAGATTTGCATTGGACGATCAGCTGATTTACTAATAATATTAGTTTGTAGTTTATTATGAAATAGGCCCGTTGTGGCTATCGAAATGGTAACGACGCAAGTAGTGTTTTAACAGCTAACAGCTATTTTGTTTGGAGGCAGCTAAATGGTTTGTGTATTTGGAATACGAAAGCTTGGTTACTGGGGCTATGAAAATATTGACTCCACTTTAAATGTACATAAATAGATTTTCAATTTATACTATTTTGGTTTTCAATTCTGCATGTTTTATTTTCAATCTTTTAATAAATTTAAATTTAAATGAATAATACGCGAATTAATGAGCTGTTGTCCCATGTCTGCCATGTTATCTTATGGGACGTCTGACGCTAAACGACACTACTTGCGACGTTACAAATTCTGGCCGCGGACTGGAGTTAAAGGTGGCCGTTGTCTATTAGAGGGTAATTTTTTAACAGAACAGGCATGAGGTTCGTTAAACATTTTGATTTTTACTTTCTCCAAGGTTATGTTGTATGTACATACAGAAAAAAACTGCGGTCTGTGGTCCGAATTTAATTAAATTAGGTACTGTATGTGGGTAGTGGGTATACAAGGAGTACAGTATTTAGGCCTACATATTAATTTACTCTTTCGATGTGTGCTCATCCAGTACTAACTGGGGCCCATTTCATAATAAAGTACAAAAACTAATATTATTAGTAAATCAGCTGATCGCCCAATGCAAATCTAATGGAAATTACAAGTTACAAGTTGTAACTTGTAACTTGTAGTTTATTATGAAATGGGCCCCTATGGTCTCAGGCAAAGGAGGAGTTAAGCTAGGTAATAAACTAAGGGAGTGTATTTTATCATTGACTATTTGAATAGTCAACAGTTTTATCTATGGTAATTTGCAAGGTGTAAAACGCCTTGGGAAATATGGTACTAACTAATCTATTTCCCGGTGTTTGTTAGCGAATTTCCCATATAGTGAATAAGCTATTGCCGTAGTACTCATGGTAAGACCTGGGGCCCATTTCATAATAAAGTACAAACTAATATTATTAGTAAATCAGCTGATCGCCCAATAATGCAAATCTAATGGGAATTACAAGTTACAAGTTGTAACTTGTAGTTTATTATGAAATGGGCCCCTGGACCTGGGAGTGGGTTAATTTTTTGTTTTGGGGTCCTTAGAGGCCAAGACGCCATCCGTTCAAATTCATATATAATATGTATTATGTTAAATGATATATATTAACATTTTACAACAAAAACACTTTTTACTCTCCCTGTTGCAGCAAACCTAAGCACTCGTTAAACTTATATTTAAATAGGGAATAAAATTTAGGGTAAATGCAAATGGAAATTCGTTATTCTTAGTCTGCAGGTTTGCTGCGTTGGGTATTTTGTATTGTTAATGCTTATTTTCAAATAAAAGTCTTAAAATATTGGAAAATCAGATTTTTGTTTACAAAAAACATTCTTAAACATTTTAATTACAATACAAAAACGTTAAAAATTCAAATTTAGGTTTTTTGTTTGTTTACTAACTTTATTTAATTATTTTTTACCAGTTATATTTATATCACCAACTTTCAAACCATCAGCTAAAAACAATATATTTTATAAACTTGTTCTTGTACTCACGTATTTTATTCAAGAAAAAAATTAAATCTGTCCTGAAAGGAAAGCAAAACAATAATTTTCTACGCCATCAACATACTCTAGTCTTACATACAGAAAAATATTTTATATTGTTTTTTTTTTACTTTTAACAAGCCTGTTAACTATATTTTTAATTTTTTATGTCTCAACTCTCTCTACACTTTGCACACTACATTATGTTAATATTTAGGAGTTTCTATAGTCAATGGTTTTTGGGACATTATGTACAATGTATCTCATGACCGTTGCCCTAAGAACAGAATTGTCATTCCAAATCCGACCTGTCTCGACTGAGGAGTGAGGACTCCGATTCCGACTGTCAAACAAATAGACAACTCTGAAGTCTGAAGCAAGTCTGCTTGTCTGCTTCTAAAATTCCATTTCCATTATCTATACATAGTGTTTTACAAAAGAGTTCGCTGTAAATTTTCATGGATAGTTGACACAGGAAGAAAATTCTAAAACTATTTAGGCCCTATATATTACAAACATTTTACTCAGTAATAAAATTAACAATTAGTCTTTTATAGGCCCTAACTAACAAAATTTAATTGTTTCTCTCAACAAGTTAGTACGTTGCAAAATTGTCGTTTTTGTGTTCAACGAAAATATTGTTATTTTCTTCTAAGTATGATCAAGTTATTTTCTTTGAAACAGCAAAAGAAGGATGGTGAGGCTACCCCGAAAGCAGGAAATCAAAAGAAGGCGTCTGCTGCACAATTGAGGATAACCAAAGGTGGGATTGAAACTCATAGGGCTTAACGCTTCATAAATCCATTTGGCTTACTTTACTGTACTTGATTGGTTAAGTTAACAATGCCATAGACACTATAGGCCCTGCTAGGCCTTAGGCACCTGGCTATTTATTTGTGGTTGTTACTGGTTTGGTAACACATTTTTTTCATGTAGGCCTATAAGCCCTGTGTTCCAAAGTCAGTTACTGTACCTATAAAAAAATTGATCAGGCATGTCATTGTCATGGGCCTCACTCTTATCCCTATAATAGGCTTCAGTAGGGCCTAGGTAACATCATAGTTTCTTTTTTAGCGAATTTCCCATATAGGGAATAAGCTATTACCGTAGTACTCATGGTAAGATCTGGACGCGGGACCGATTTTTTTTCGTTTTGAGGTCCCTAGAGGCCAAAAACACCATCCGTTCAAATTCATATACGGTATATATATATATATGTGTCCGTCAGCACGATAACTCGAGCAAAAATGATCTGATTTTGATTAAATTTGGTACAAACGTGTAAACATACGTTTATTCTAACGAGTTCGCGATCCAGCATGATCGGACCATGGGAACGGGTGTTTACGGGGGGTTTAATGGGGTAAAAATAGGTATTTCCCATTTTTGACCCAAAAAACATAAAATTTAGCAATTTATTTCCAAACCATTTTGTAGAGCTTAAAAAAACAAATAATTTAACTTAGTATAGCCTATTGAAGCGTTATTATGCGCCTAATGGTTACAGAGAAAATTATAAATTTAAAATTCCCTTGTTATTCTTATGGAGAATAAGTAAACTGTTGTAGTTTGCTTGTTTATGAACATATTTTGATCAAATTTGGAAAATGTTTTATTTCTTACTTTAACATTTTACAAAAAAAAAACAGCTTTACCCTCCCTGATGCAGCAAACCTAAGTACTTGCTAAACTAATTCTATTTAAATCGGGAATAAATGTTATATTTTTAAGTAGACATTTCAGTGTAAATCCAATCAGTCAAATGGAAATTCGCTTACTGTAGTCTGCAGGTTTGCTGCTGCGGGGGTATTGAATCATAATTAGGTTGAATTCAAGATATTTGGTCACTGCTAACTTAGCACAGGCCTATATCTTATATTCTTTTTTATATTTAGGTGAGCCCTAGGCTTTTGTAATGGTTGTTAATTGATTACCGTGTAACCTAAGAGACAGTCACTCGGTTATAACTGTTAAAATAGTAAAAAATATAGTAGGCCTAATAGCCTACTTAAATAGTTCTTAGAGTGTTGGAAAAGATGTCAAAAGAAAAAGATTAAACTTAGGCCTATTTGTTTTCTATACTTAGACCTAGGCCTATTCGTCGAACGCTATTAAAGAAATTATTGGGTTTCAGTTGTAAAAAAACAGAGAGGTAAAAAATAAACTAGGCCTAACAACTCAGTTCAGTTGTACAGTTTCTTAAGCTGCGTTGTCCAAGGCGCGTCTGTTGCGTCTGACGCAGAGCGATGATCGCCGAGCGATGATCGCTGAGCGTCGATCGCTTGGAGGCCCGTTGTCCAAGAACGTGTCTATTCAGTTCAACAGTTGGTTGCTGACTGTGTAAAAATTTATTTTCCTCTCACTATTAGCGTTAAGAGCCAAGTGTTGAAGATCCTATTCATCGAAGAGATAGAAAACGAGGAAATTCTGGACCTTTAGTGAACCTTGATTGTGTACCCACAGTGTTTTCAAAAAGAGAAGTGAGGAAGGATATTTTAGAATACCTACCAAAAACCACTTTAATGCAGACAAGAGTGCATTAATTGATTTTTTTACTTTTAATGGCAACAGTTTAAGTTGTAATAATTTAATTTATTACTAATTTATTATTATTTTGAAATTTTTCTTTACTTAAATACACAGATATCTCCTATTCTAAATAACTCCCAATATGTAATCCATAGCTAAAATAAAAGTCAATACTTTGGTGAATTATTTTAGACTATAACTTTAATTTAATTTTGATTTAATTTTGTGTTTTTGTTCGTAGCGGGTCTCTAACTCGTCTGATTTCAATTATCAATAACTCAAATGGAAGCCCTTACATTACTGAATATTTTAAGGTTGAAACGAACTGCAAGCGTTAATAAGAACTGGAGATATTTAAAAAAATGATAAAAGTACGAAACGTCTATAAGAAATGTATGGGGAAGGGTTTTCGTTTGAATTTCTTTAGAACGAAAAATAAATAAAAACGGATTCCTGCATTGAAATTAGCATGAAAATCTAGTTTTGTAAATTATGTGTCACAAAACTATCATTACATAAAAACAATATGTATATCCAATATGGCGGATCCAAGATGGTGGCCATAAACGTGTTTCCTATCGAAATGAAGTACTAACCACCCAATAAATACTGGTGGTGATCTTAAGTCAATACCTCGAAAATGTGCATAAAAGATGCATGTGGAATCATTTTTTATTATTTTTCCAATGTTGGGAAAAGCCAAAATTTTTTATAATGATTTTAGGGGGTTTCTCATGGACCGATTTTTGGCAACCTTTAGTATATCAATCAGCAGACTCAACACTACAAAATAAAACCCTAAAACATTATCTTGCAATCTTTTTAGGTCATATTCTATATTTCTTTGACTATAGCTATTACATTAAGATACTGTATATTATGGAGTATACGGGAGAACACAGAAACAACAATGCAATAGACGCAATAGACGCTGGCCGTCAGCGATCCCGTCTGCTCCCGGAGCAGTGCCCCGCGTCAGACGCTCAGCGTCTCAAGCGTCAGACGCTAGAGACGCTCCCCTGGACAACGGGTCCATTGAAATCAATGCTTAGCAGTCACTGAGCGTCCATCGCTAGCGTCTATTACTCAGCGTCAGACGCAACAGACGCGTTCTTGGACAACGAGCCTTTAACTGGGCTACCCTATTATTGATTGAAAGTTTCAATCCTATTAGAATTTAGCCTCTAACTTAAGTACCGGTATGCTATTAAGTTAAGTCTAAGAATATAATGAATGTAAGAATATAATATAATGCTATTAAGAATATAATGAAATAGTCATAAAAGTGTTAAAAGAATCATGTAAAATCATTCAAAATCATTTATATGGACAACGTTATTAATCTATGTTACATGTTATTTATATCGTAAATTTAAGTTTTTTTTTACTGTGTCTAATAGGCAAAGTTTATTAATAAACTCAGTTTTCAAAATAAAAAAAAATAAAAATAGTCCTCAAAGATTAGGTTAAAATAGTCGAGTCTAGAAAGGTAAGGATTTTACGGTAAAAGTTTAGTATGGATGGATTACTCTTACAGCCAACAATACTTTATTTTGAATCAGTGGTGTTCTTATTCCGCCTCAAACTCTTTTAATCCACCTTCATTTAACTTTATCAGGTCGTTAGCTATTCTAGGTAGGCCTATAGGGAAGTGACAACATTAGGTCTAATGTCACTGGCAGGCCTCCAAATATCATCTAGTAACTTAATGGTAGGCTATGAACCTATTTAGATTCTAGAGAAAAAAAAAGAAAAAATCATGAAGTAGGACATCATTAAGAGGGCTCTAAACCTGACTGCATTTAAGTTTACGTCCTCCGTTTACTCATATAGCTTACTGCATGTTTGGTTAAGGTTAGGTTTAGTTTAGAACAGTTTCATTTTATAATCAGCTGTCAATAATGTATAATGGTAAATTTAGGACGTAAACTAAAGTGCAACCCTAAACCTTTACCAAACGGCTGAAAAACACACCTCCGTATTACTCAAATTCTTAGCTTATTAAAGCAATTAACAACTTTCGGTGAACAGGAAAATGTTTCTAATGCAAAACACCCATGTACGAAGGACGCTCTGGTGAGCGTTAATAGAACTATCACCGCCAAGGAGATATTTGTCAGTGTTGCCAACCTGTTTCTCTGTCCATTAGGACATGGGACTGGTGTAATTCCCCAGAAAGGCTAACTGTGTCCTTAAATTGGATTAACCATTAAGACACAATATTTGTCACTCAACCCATATCGTAATTCTTGATAAATGGCTAAGCCAAATTGCATTATATTTGGGCTTTATCATTCAGAGAATAATATGATAGATATCGTAAAAAATATCATGAAACCTAATAAATGTTAAAGCATGAACATTTGAATCAAATCAGTCCAGTTAGTTTTAAATAAAAAGTATAAATACAAAAACAGCAGGATTTTAAAGTTTGCAATCACTATTGAGGTGCAAAGTGTAGTTTCTGTTATCATTACTTAGTACCGGGAGATCAGCCTTGCTCGTTTGTGGTTAATAGTTACCGTACGGTAATAGTTCTAATGTATGCCAATTAAAACCCCCAGATGTAATAAGTTTAATTGGAATGCCTCAATACTTCGGGGATTATGTTTTGGTGTGAGAGGGCTGAGTAAAATAATCAGTATTTGATCAGAACTATTTCCCCCTGAGTAGGTAATCTTCAGTGTAATCTTTTCTCAATAGTTACAACTGATGTTTTTTCCCTTTGTATCCTACTGTAGGGTATACATATTTTAATTTGCTAAGTATACTGTGGGTGGCTTGTTATAAACACATGTGACAAGTCTTTTGTTAACTTTTTCCTTGTTATTATGTTCAACCAACATAGTTACTTGGCAACCCATAGGCCCTAAGGCCAATGGTAAATTTTTAAATGAGTTGTGTAGCAAAATACCTACAAATTTTCCTAAGGTAGTGTTTATCACATTTTTAAGGCTATAAGTCCCTAATTTCAAAATCCTACCCGAGATTACAGTCAGACATAATAGTTACAGACAAATAGACGTAGCTTGTTACAGAGATATTAAAAGTCGTTACTGTACTAGGGGTATCCTGGGCGTCATGTGGCAAGGAGGGGTGTCACATTAGGCCCATATATTATTAATTTAGGTTATTATATACTGCTCGTATGATCAACTGGCATTTTTATATAACCCTTTGCGGCAGCTCTCCGCTACGTCAATGACGTCGCTGCTCTGGTTGTAGGCAGAAGACATTTATGCCTGGCTGGGACTGAGCTAAAACTCGGTATTGTGATGCTTCGTGCCACCGAGTGGATGTAAGACCACGGCTAGTCACTGGTGGTTGAAAGACCAAGATCAAGGTCCTTACCAAGAAGAGAACTCTCACCGTCCTTCCTGTGCAAGTGGGCCATGGCCAACTGGAGACCAAGCCATATATGCCAAATACTTTTGTGTTGATTGACAATATGATGTCCACGGCAAGTAGATCAAGCGAATCGTAGACAAAGCTGCTAAAAGAGTCGCTGCCTTTAGTAGGCTTATGCGAAACGTCAACAGGGGCTCCTGCAAACGCCACCTATTGATGTCTGCTTTCCAATCAGTGCTCTTTTACGTTGTTGAAATCTGGGCCCATGTGCTGGAGAGGCGTGTCTTCCGTGACTGACTTTCCTTCGATCAGCACTAAAGGGCCTTGCGAGTTGCTTCTGTCTACCACACGTTCTCTGACCCTGAGTCATAGAATACACTAATGGCCAGTGTCATCCTCGTCTTCCATCTTGCAAGGGAGCGACAGGCAATCTACCGCAGGAGACCTGAAGTAGGCAGAGAGACTGCTGCCACAGAAGAACGCACAGTTTCAACCGGTGGCAGCGTCAATGGTGCGCCGAGGCTAGGGGGTGTTGGACCGCCAGGCTCATTCCCAGTATCCGACCATGGGTGGTAAGGGAGCATGGTGAGGTCGGGTACTTTGTGACCCAGTTTTTGTCGGGCTATGGGTACTTCTGTGCCTTTTTGCACAGATTGGGTAAGGCTGCCAGCTTAAACTGTCTGTACAGCACCTGGAACTGTGGCAAGAAGTTCATCGAGGCCATACTTAGGGCTAAGAAGGTCAATCTCAATCCGCCTTTGGAAGAAAATAAGAAGGAAAAGGAAAACCCGGATGGCATAATTAAAAAGGCCCGAAGTAGTGTGCTAAACAGTTCCGGTATAGTGTCCTAGGAAATGAAGGGGGTTTTTTAGCTGGTAGTCTGGGGACTTTGAGCCCGTGTGAGTCCGACTCTACTGAGAGGACGTCAAGCCTCTCAGTGTGCGCAAACTCATTTTGACCTCCTCCCCACAAAAAAAGTCATACACTAAAGAACCACGCTTGTTGATTGTGGACATAAAATATTTTTCATGTGTCTCTCTCATGTTCAAGGTTATTATAGTATTTTTGCCACATTATACTGTTTTGATAGACATTTAACATATGAAATTAGTCCGGAAAACACCTGTTTGTTTCCTGCTTGATAAAATAGTGTTTCATTACCTGCTACTTAACTGTAATAAATCTTTACTGGTCATCATCTGATTATAATTAGCAATAAGTCAACGAATCAATAAACAAAAAAATAACCTCTCTTAGAAGCTATGAGCAGTAAGTGATTGTTTTGAAAGTCCTTTAGTCGGTGGGATTATTTAACGGATTTGTACATTATTTTTTATAGTTAGGTTAGCTTAGAGTAGTATGGTGAAAAATATTGTAGCCTATGTCGTTCGTCCAAAATGTGTTTACCATACTAATCCCGCACTCACGTTGGAACAACCATTACTCGTCCGGTAAACACCTATTTCCTGGAATTGTAAGTTAATACCTATACTATTAGTCTCCAAACCAGCACCAGTTCTTTTATAATGCTAGGGTTGAGTTCCCCTTAAATCCCAATAATTCATGTGAGTCGTTCCATGTCAAATGAACAAATTGTACTGTTCAAACTAAACCTTCATGACCTTCCCATCCACTCATTGCTCCACACACATCTTTAAATCCATCACTTGCCATTAAACCTATTAATACACTGTGAAAGAGTGTTCATGTCCTTGACCCAGTGCCTACTCAGTGTAGGCCTTTGTACTTCTCGGATTGATGATTTGCAAATAGCCTTGTCTTTCCGCTAGTAAAGTTTAAGTTGTAAATGTATGTTTGTACACATGATTGGAGCTCCCAAAATTCTTTTCTAAAGTTTAACAGTCTTAAACTATAATGCAGAGGTAAAAATCTTGTTTACCACAAAATTCATAGTAGCCAAACCATACTCAATGGGGTTAGTAGATGTAGAGTTCAGATAGTGATACAATTAAAAGTATTCATCATTATCAGAGTTTATAAATAGCCTACTGTTTAGGTAGGGAAAATAAGAAATAAGAGTCGGGTTACAAATCCGGTAAAACCAATATTTTAAAAATAATTCCCATCTACCCCCCAAAATAGTTCATAGTTCAGCTAATATTACTTTTAATAGTTTTACTGTTTTTAAGTGGTTAGGTACTAAATAAAAGAAGGAACTGCTGATAGTTTCCATCTTTCATCAACAAACAAACATTGTACGAGACACTAACATTACGTTCACGCCAATGTTTCGTTTGTTGTAATGTATATTTCTTTTGCAGACATCAATGAACTAAATCTTCCAAAGACTTGTAATACAGAGTTTCCTGATCCAGACGATTTGCTAAATTTTAAACTGGTCATCTGCCCAGACGAGGTAAGTATATCTTATTCCGCATAAAAACAATATAGGATCAAATATGATAAACAGTCACAATGAGTATATTATCACATTATATTTTTATATTAGCATTGAGCGTTATCCCTATTCTTAACCAAGTGGATCTTAAATCCTTTAAGTCTGAAAGTGTAATGTATCAACAATAAAGAGAAACATTATTAAACTTTTAGACAACTTCTTACAACTTTTAATGTAAGTACGACTTTTTAGAGCACGGTTGAAAGCTAAAACCTGCCAGTGAAGTTCATGAGTACCAGATTTGTTAGTGCAGTTGACTATTAAAAATCTGCTCAATGGCTGAGCAATTTAAGACCCAGTCTGGAAACAGCACCATATATTGAGGATTCAGGAGTTGGTAGCATGTCTTTGGTAGAGCTTGGTAGAAGAGGCCCCTAGTGGGTGGCTGAAATAAACACTAGATGGCTCATGATGAAGTTGATGAAATGGTTGGGTTCCATCATTGACTATACACAGAAATAGACTTCCCATGTGATATGAAAGTTTGAAACCAAGAAAATAGATGAAGTTCAGGACCATCTCACCAGAGTTTACTAGTGTATTGGGTTGAATATTAATTAAAACCAATGCAGTATCATAGCAAACTGCTGATTGATTTATCACTAATATCACTTAACACAGAATATTGTCATTAGTTGGTGACCATCTCAACAGATTGCATCACGTTTTTTGGCTTCAAATTTTTACATTACATGTGAAGTCTATTTCTGTGTATAGTCAATGGTTCCATGTAAATTGCATTTTGCGGTTCGCTACTATTTACTTGTAAGTTTTTTTAAAGATTTTGATACTCAATAAAAATAGGCATAGTTGATTTGTTAATCTTTTTTACTCAGAGGATCCAGTTTCCCTAAGTAGTATCCTTATATTGACACCAACCTTCGTTGCAGGGTTTCTACCGGAGCGGAAGGTTTGTTTTCAGTTTTAAAGTAGGGCCCAACTACCCCCACGAGCCCCCCAAAGTCAAGTGTGAAACGCCCGTCTACCACCCCAACATCGATCTCGACGGCAACGTCTGTCTCAACATCCTCAGAGAAGACTGGAAGCCAGTGCTCACAATCAACTCTATCGTATATGGATTACAGTATTTATTCCTGGTGAGCTTATTTTTACTATAAGGGTTTCTATTTTAATCCCTTCACTGCTTTACATCTTACAATAGAAGACAGTAAGCAAAACCATTAATTCTCTGCACTTTTAATGTTGAATCATAGTACTAACATGGTGTGAACAATTGAAACACTGAAGAAAGAATAAATACTGTTACAAAACTACAAAAGTAGTCATGTAAAACATGGTGTGTATACACATATACAAAATACTAATAATGTGCAATTCCAAGTTTGATTTTTGATTCTGATACTAAGCTCTTTTTAAACTACAGTAGTGTCCGTTGCTTGAAATTGAGCAATTGCTAAGTATTGGAGGAGTTATTTTAACACTGGGTGAATCGAAATAAATAACTCTCAAAATTATTTAATGTTAATCTATTAGATCCGCACCTATCTACTGGAAGTACCTACCTGCTCTGTTAAAAAAACTCTTTTTTAACAATACTTAATTTTTTTATTATTATTATACAATAATAAGTATTTTATAACTTTTTGGGACCTGACCTTGTTCATTAGTGTTCTATAAAAGTAGTTAAAGCTCTCAAAAGGAATTTCCAAGACTTGCAGCCGCATAAAGTTGTCTATGTGAAAATGCAGGAAAGTTAATATCCTGCTAATAAATGTTCAACTCTTGCTATGAACTGGCAAAAAATTTGGATTTACAAAAAATGGATTTAGAATGGCAGCTTTTTTTCTTATAGATTCAAATTTACTTTGGGTATCACAGTTCGTTCCTTAGGCTTACTTGAAGAACCTGTCAAAAACCTTACAGAAAGTAAATAAAGAAACGTCTTATAACACTTAAAACATATATTTACGCTTATACTGCTACTCACAAGACGGTAAATATACAAAACAGATGGTAAGTGGTTACAGGATACCTACGCAAACGGACACTACAATCAACAGCAAGTCTATTCATCCGACAATCCACAAGACCGCAGCCTTTAGATCTATGCTGTACTGTGCATATAAGATCCCATTTGGCCAAGCCAATAGGAAGAAAGAGCTGGACACCATTAAGAAGATCACTCAAGTTAATGGATTTCGAACCAAGACAATAGAGGACATCGCAAGGAAGAAGAGGAGGAAAATCGATAGGCAGAATACACTACACAGCAGAACAACATAAGAAGAGATAAAAGAGGAAAACACCAGATATATCACATTTCGCTACACGGGACTACAACACAAAGGACTGCTAACAGATTCAAGAAATACGAAGTTTCAATAGCCTACAGGACTCAGAACCCCATGAGTAAAATACTGCACCCGAAAATAGAAGATTTCAACAAATTTTTGAACAAATACATTTTGATTCCAGTTGTAGGGTACTTATAAAAATGTATTGGCCGGTGCTTCCGGTAGCCAATAGGGTATAAGTAGGGACGCCATTAAGATTCTTGTCATTCGCCTATTGGGTCTGATGATGATTGGAGTGTCCAATCGAAATCGATCACCACTTACCATCTGTTTTGTATATTTACCGTCTTGTGAGTAGCAGTATAAGCATAAATATATGTTTTAAGTGTTATAAGACGTTTCTTTTATTTACTTTCCGTAAATTTAATAACACGTACAGTGCTGATCAAGAAGTTATTTAGTGAAAACCTTACAGTCTCTAATGCTGTTATGCAAACATTTCACTCGTAATTACGCTCCATTAATTGATCAATTTGGTTGTATTTTTAAATTTCTTATCAACACTACCACTGATTTTTTTAATAGCTGATGTGGTGGCAGTTCACTTAGATAGCAGACAATATAAAATGTTGGTACAAACTATTTACTATTCTGTCGGGTATTTATTTTTTCCTGCTTATCTGACATTTCATTAAAACTTTCTCTAGCCCTGGGATCATAGATGTTTTTAACCTAGTAGAAGTTTGCTGTATCAGTAATAACAACAATAAATAAACAAATGAGAGTCACACGTGAAACTTAAAATACTTCAAATTAAAACCAAACAAACAGCTGGTTTGAATATTATTATTCCATAAGCTTAACATGGCAACATTGAGGGCCACTGGGGCAAAGCCTTTACTACAGTAGACATTGACTCATTTTATGGTTAGCAAAACTTCAGAGTGAGCTCTCAAAATGACACCAAAAACATCAAAATTGGTAAAATCTCTAGGAGGAGTTCTGTTTGCAAAATAGCCCTTTTAAAATCTAAATATATAAAACAAAGTCATGTTTAAAACACCACAAGAACGGCTGGACCGATTTGAATGGTTTTTGATTCGTTGGATTCACCTCTGTCTTGATTAACATATAGGCATATTCAGTATTGTATTTAACCTTAGGGCTGAGCCCCACTGGCCTGTAAAGTTTGTACGTTAAGCTTATGGAGCTATTGGAAGAATGTAAATAATCAAATGTATTAATTGAAGTCAGCTGTAAATACTTTAATTTGCCAGTTCAAAGAGCAGAGGTTTTAGGTTGAATACCCATTTTCAAATCACAACAACATCAAGTTGTAATCCATGAAATCCGACAGACGTCTTCATCAATAAACAAAATACATACAGATGCATAAAGTTCACATTCAAAACATAAAAAAATATTTTTAATAAATGGTAGACTGGTTACGTTTAAACACAGGACAAACCGACGACAGGATTAGATGTAGGATTAGATCAAGATTGGTTGAAACTTATTGACACACCAATGTGTTCCTGTTTTCCCTTTTAGGAGCCGAACCCAGAAGACCCGTTGAACAAGGAAGCTGCAGAGGTTCTTCAGAACAATCGACGGCTGTTTGAACAGAACGTACAGAAAGCGATGCGAGGCGGCTACGTTGGATCGGTCTACTTTGAACGTTGTCTCAAGTGATGTGGTCCCGGCGTACAGGCTCGCTGACTGTGATCTGTGTACTTAGGCAAGCTCTTTTGTACATAATACGACTACAGCAACTTGCTTTTAAATTTTATTTCCTCTCAGATCACAACTATCTACTCTAAATGCTTAGATCGCAAATGTACATTTACCATGGAGTTGTCTAAGTGTAAAAATTTGAAAAATGTCACTGTATCATATTTGTAATTATTGCCATTTTCTGTCAGTCTCCTGTAAAATTCCTAATTTGTAAGGGATTTTTTTTATTTATACAAGAAAAATATTTATTTACATTTACTAAACTTTCTTTGTGTAATTTTGTGTACTACAATTTTAAATTTTAATCCTTTACTCAAAAATCAGACATAGTGGTAAAAAATAAAATACAGACATCAAATAATGATGAGATATCAGTTTCAACATTAAGTATTTTAATTTCCGATATTATCTATGAAACACTGAGGTGCTACTTCATAATGAACAATTGGTGATATTGTAAAATTATAGGGAGGCTGTATGCACACTGTTGGAGCTAAACGTTTGTACAAATATGATGAATATTGTTCTTTAGAAGTCTCTTGTCCAGTGACACAAAAACTGCTGAGTAGAAAAGTTATAGTTGCCAAGATTTATATGATGAGTACTGTAATAAAAAGTTTTCAACTCTCCGCTCAAATTCAATAAATACTCAAGAGTGAGTTGTTTAACTTTTCCAGCTATGCAACCAGGACTTTTTTGTGTTTGTAAAATTAGAATTTGTTTTTGTAAGGAAACCACAAATCTGCAGGCTGAATCCTAATTTTGTCACTATCTAACGTCGATTTAGTTATACCACTAATTAATGGCAAATGGAATGCGAGTCCAGCATTATCTTGCTTGGAATCAAACAAGCAACCTTTGTTCAAGGGGAGCTTGAAACCACTAAACCACCCAGACTAACCTTAGCTGCAGTACAAACATGATCATATTTACGTTGCTCAGAAAAGGGCTTCTCATGCCTACTAATAAGGGATGAATGTAAATAAATTCAATACTCGTCTTGTGTGTTACGTGGCAATGTTTTTCGGACCAAAATTTTGTAATCATTTTGTAGAAAATATTTTGGTAAAATATGTTTATTCGTGCACATTGACTGCTCAACAGGAAGGGTTACATAATATATTCACTGATTACCTCATTATGGCCATGATGTGTCATACAAAAAGGGAAAGGACACAGATTTCTGTATTTTCTTGGACAGGTTAAAATATGTTTTCATCTCATTACTCAAAAGATTGTGAATGAGAATGTTGCAACGTTTTGCTTCCTCACTGTGTCCAGCTTTGCTATACATCAGATCATAATACTGTTTTGTTTTAGGTAAGAGGTTCTCATAAATAATTTCAATTTACTGTATACTAATTATATACTCAACCTTAATGAAAATAACAAGTGCATATATTGTTTATTAAGATGCATGAATGGTGTAAAATACACTTAAGCCTTTGTTTTTGTATTTAATTTTTATTTCAGGAGTCAAAAAAACATTTTAGGTATCAACTTGTACATATCAATAATGGCAAAAAAAAACTGAAACCTCATTGAAAGAATTTGAAATTGTTTTTGAACCTATTTTAATTAGAATAATACAAAATACATTTTATTTATTTATTCTTTTTGTTACTTTCCAGACATAAACAACTTTTAGTTGTATTTTATTAAAATAAATAATTAAAAATCACTATTGAAGCACAGTTTAATTTATGAAAACCCCGATTAAATACTTGTGTTTTAATAACGGATCCGTGAGTTGTTGGCATGATTAAACTAATTAATATTCACCATTAGTTGCTAAGGTATGATGCAGATATCTTTACATTACATAAAAGCCAACACCTCCGTCAGAACAAATTCTATATTCTATGTCACGAGAGTTGTCAAGCTAAACCATTTAATTTAATTACAATTATAAATGAGCCTAGATATGCAACAGGGATCCAACGCACAAAAATATCAAACTTTTTAGGTATTGTAGCCTTTGGTTGGGTGAAAGAAACATCGATTTACATTGTGCAAAAATTATCCAACCACAACAACAGGTGTTTTGGCAATTTAAACTTGCTTATAACCCAAATTATGTGTCATGCTACTTTCACATTTTGCAAAAAGGATACAATCGCTTGTTCTATAAGAGATTCCCAAATTACTTGGTCCAGCTACATGGAGGTTTTTAATTTGAATTGTGGATATTCAAAGGCATGATCTGTGGATGCGATACTCCCTAGTGTGGATTAACATCCACACTAGTGAGTAGTACGACTATCTGCAGTACTATCCTGATAATTAGACCAATTTGCAAATTACAAGGTACAAATGTGGTTCGTATACCACAATAAACTGTAAGTCCCCTAGTTGCCATTGGCTGTATGGGCTATTAAGAGTCGGTAGGAGTCGATAATTTTGCATTGTTGTTGACCGTCAGATACCAGGCATAACAGTGGTTGTCTGAGCACCGATCAGCAAAACCATTCATTCACGTTGAAGCATATTAATCATGCACCGTAACCCTGATTATCAAGCAGAATATTTTATGTGATTCTTAAATATATTTTCCTTGTGAATTACTTTTTGGATTTTTTTGTTTTAGAGGTTGGAAAAAATCACAGTTTAAAAATCAATATATTTTTGTAGTTTGACAAAATAATAAAAATTAAAAAGTAGATAGTAAATCACATCCGCGGTTTCAATAGCTTTAAACTGATATATTTTGCATCTTTTTATGTTTATGCTTCAACCATTAGCAACCATTATTGCTTCTTGCGTAATATGCTTCAACCATTAGCGTTGTGGGCAGAAAATCTAAGATGGCCGGTGGTCCTGCCGACTCTTGATTAAAAGTCCTGTCACTTGGCGCACTAAAAAATGAAAGATGCAAAGTCAAAATTTGTTGGAAATATCTGTCTAAATCATGGGGGGCATCAGCTCATCTGCCTATGATCATGATTGATTGTGTTCAACAAGCTATCTTGGTTGTTTCTGTTTTGACTAATCTTATGAGCCAATCATCTAAGGCGAGTTCAAATTTTGTATGTTTTAGTAGTTACATAGCAGCCTTATCGCAAAAAGTTACGTTCAGCCTATGAGAATTGCCAGTGAAGCGATACTGGGCTCATAGGATCGATTTGAGGCTCAATTAATTCTGAGATTTCTTATGCGTGCTACCATTCTAAGTCAGAATATTTTATTTAACATACATAACTAAGATAACTGAGCCAAGCAACATCTATATCACAGCCATTTTGATGATCTAAATTTTGTAAAGCATTCAACCAATCTTACTAATAAATAAGAATAAGCTAAAAAAAACTCCCTTTTTATACATATATATATATATATATATATATATATAATATTTCTTTGTACTGCTGTAGCTGAGTTAATATGATGTTCTTCGGACGTGCCTGAGAGTTTTAGTTTGACAACCCTTTCATGACTTTTTGTATTATTTTATACCATTCAGTCGTGTTGTCCTTACTCTATTCTAACCGGCATTGCAATTAATTCACTCGATAATCATGCAATTTATTAATAGAATTAATTAAACTCCTATCAGCTCTGACGTACTCAAACCATGATCATAAAATTCTGAATTTATTGTCTTTAATTTGAAATTTTTTGAATTTTAACCCATTTTTTCCTTTTAATCCATTGTTGTTATTCAATAATTTAATTCCCTTTAAGTTAATTACACTTGAACCCAATTCCCAATTCCAACTGTGTCACGTGTTTGCTAGTCAAGCTTGTACTGGTCCAATTCTAGCGTGTTGCATCGTGCGGCCTGAACACGTGTTCTCGTGTTCGATGCAGAAATGGTTGATTTTTGTAAATTTTGTTCTGGCTGCGATATAGATGCGGTTACCTTTGGCTCTGCTTTGTAGCGATATTGGGCTCATAAGATCGATTTGAGACTCAATCTGAGATTTCTTATACGTGCTACCATTCTAAGTCAGAATATTTTATTTATTGTAACTAAAATAACTGAGCCTAGCCACATCTATATCACAGCCATTTTGATGATCTAAATCTTGTAAAGCATTCAACCCATCTTACTAATAAAGAAGAATAAGCTAAAAAAAATCCCTTCGCGCCATAGGGGCCCGATACTGTTATCTCAGTGTTTACATTATATAATTATTTAATAAATGATAGAAACCCTAACCCCTTAGTCCCCCCCCCCCCTTACTGAAAAGAATTATAACTAGAACATGACTAATTTCCCTTGTCTGTGCTAATATGTATCTAATAATTATGCTTAATAATACTACAACTTATCGGTCTCATTCCGGTTCCTCGACGCTACCACTCCAGTGCTCTCCAGGCCGCGACTGCCCCTAACTCTACCCCTCCCCTACTCTCCTCCAGTATACACAAGCGTCACACCAGCCATCCACCAGTTCTCACTTATAGAAAACCCCTCAGACGAATATGGTACAATGTTTAAAAAAATTTTGGCTTACACTAGAAAATGTTTTTCATCATACTGCAGCAAAAACAGCCGTTTTGAATGCATGCGTTGCGGGTCTAAAGTAGCATTTTTACTCTCTAGGGAGTAAAAATCGTTTTTAGCCCCTAAGGAGTTAAAGTCAGCTGTTGTCAAATCAGTTGTAAATTTTGATTGTAAACAATTGCATGTATAAAAAGTATGTATCGATTGTTGTTAATTGTTGCCTCATTATAAATAGTTTGACATACCGATAGGATAAAGTACACTAGAACACTAACACAATCGTCATAGACAAACTGATTAAATCACTTAATAAATAGCCGCTTATTTGCATTAGCAGAATTGAAAACAAACTGGAAGTTGTTTTCAAAGGTTACCTTTACATAAAAATTATATTGTTTTCTAGGTTAGTGTGTTGATGCAATATGACAAAAAATTTAGTTCACCACACGGGAAAAAAGTGTCTTTTTAACCCTCGCTCATTTTCCGACCTCAGCTTCACCTCGATTGTAAAACTTGACCTCAAGTCAAAAAGAGTCACTTTAAGACATTCTTGATGGAATATACTATTATTATCTTATCATGTATCTAAATTTTATTTTTAGGTGTTCCTACTAGTGATAGACAGATCCAAGAAAATGTCGGTACTGTCATAAGGATGGAGGTTTAAAAATCTTATTTACATAAATCCAATTTAAATCGTACTGTTTGACATTAAATTGGTAATGTTTAAAGGTAATAATGTAATAAGATATAGAATAATCTCTAGTGTCCCCCCAAACCCCTCATTTTTGTGGGACACTAAAATTTTCCAAAATCCTCAAATTAAACTTTGTGCTAAATTTGCACCAAAAGGTTATCTCTGTATATTTACTTAGATGGGGGGGGGGGGGCTAACTTAAAACATAGTTTTTTTTAACTTTTTAGTTATATAAATAATGGAATACATTAAATTGTGTAAATAATTGAAAGTATGTAATGTACATTATTAGGTGAAACCGCAGTAAATACTTTTGTAGGGGAGAGCGGGGCTTTACCGTACACATAAGGGAGATTCGTAGTTACATCGCAAATTACAAAGTAAAAGTAATGTAAACACAAGCAATATAATATAATTTAATTATTTGGCTACTGATGGTATATAAACATTTTGGAACTATTGCATTTTTTAAATGTAAAAATTGGTAATTAAAAAAAAGTTACCTTGTACGAAATAGCACCGAGGGGTGGGGCCATTCCATACAGTATAAGGGGCTATACCGTACAGTTCAAAAATAATTTGTTTAGGTTAGTAAAATATAATAGTACTGCAGCAAATTATTGCACAAACACTTTTTATTACTATATAAAGGTTGTAGTTAAGAAACAGCGTATTACAATTTAAAAATTTTAGAAGAAATAACATTTCAAAAATCAACCTTCATAAAAAACATGAAGTTTATGAAAAAGTTATAAAATGTCATCCAAAAATTAAAAGAAAGAAGAAAAAGTCCACAAATGTAGTTCTCTACAGACTCCACAGCACTGCAAGCTGAATGGACCCACCCTGAACATGAGCAGCACCCTGTACCAGAGCTGTACGGTTTAGCCCCAATCTGTACCTCGTGGGAATTTATAAACACAAACTCAAATTCTATCACTTAACCAATCATCGCTAATAACCAAAAGAGAGCTTAAGGGATGTAGTTTATTATGATCTCACAGTTAATAGACTACGATAAAAGCTACTTCACTAACTTTTTATTTAGTACTGGAAGAAAATTAGAAGCAAGTGAGTAGAAACATGTTTTTTTACTGAAACATTGAAATTAGCACACAGCAAAAGATGCAGATACTGTAAACTTGCGCATTCTGCTGCTAGATAGCAGCACTTGTCGGGATCACCTAGCTTGAATTCTAGGCCAAAAAAATGGGTGTACGGTTTAGCCCCGCTCTCCCCTTTATGTTAGTTTTATTATCAGACTAGACTAAACAATGTTAAATGACAATGACGCGATTTGTATGATTTCATTAAAGATTTATTTGATTTGATAGTCATGTACATGGACACAGATAGTCTTGTACATGGATACACGGATAGTCTTGTATACAGGGTGAGTTTCAATTGCCCCTCCCCCCAACGTTTTTCTACATTTTTTTCAAATATCAGTCCCAGACCACTTCCAAACATTGTTGGGTAGTAAGTACTTCATTTTTACAAGGTGGTCATGTCCGGCCGCCATCTTGAATTTGCTATATAT